CGACATAGAAAATGATTGTTATAAATAAATAAAAATTTTTGTAAAAAATATATATAAAATTTTGAAAGAGAAATAGGATGATCAATACAGACAGCAAATCAACAAGCAATGTTTAACCAACGACGTGCAAGTTCGATAGTCGATTCAACAAACGATAATCAGATGGTCAAACAAACAATCTAAAGTTATACGAACAAATGACAAATGGAGCAATTGAGAAACGAATTGGAAGTGAAGATAAGAAACTGAGAAAAGAAGACATTAAAAAAAAAGAGGGAAATGTTAATATATATAAATTTTGCATAAACTTTATACATTTTTTACTTTGTAATTAAAGATCTTTTTGTAAAAATTCTTTCTTTTAAATTTATTGACCTTTTATATTTTCCTAATTTTCTTAAATGTTAATTTAATTTAAGGACGAATTTGTTAAAATTTAACCTTTTAAAAAACTTATGTAAAAAGTGTAAATTAAAATTGTATTATATAAAATTGTAAAATTTTCAGTATTAGTATTAATAAAAAATAAAATAAAAATTTATTTATTTTTTGTTTTTTTTAAGCCTTTCGTTGTTCTAAAAATATCATATGCAAATATACACATCTGTTTTTCTCGTAAATATTCCGAAAAAATATCAGTATCTCCTGAATCTCGATCTCTCCAAAAGTTTTGTGCGCCTAAATTATGTTCTTTGAAATACTATTCGTCGCTAACTACAGAACATTAGAAGGTTTTCATCAATATGACACCTTTCCATATAAAGCATGAATAGGTTTTCAACAATTATTTAGTAATAAATTTTCCATATTAATATTATGTTTTTCAAAAATTGTATTAATAAAAAATAGTATAATAAAATTCTTAATAATTTAGCAATTGTCCTTATATTTAGCGAACTTTTTTGGTATAATCTAGATGGATGTACTTCTTGAAAATAATTTTAAATTGAACACCTAATAAAATTTAAAAAATATTGATAATTTATTATTTTACTGAAAAAATATATTTTCAAGTCATACTTTAAAATAAAATGCCGAAAAAATAATAACCACCTTTATCTTTTATAATCAGTACCACCAGAATCAGATATATAATTTATTTTGTTTCAGTAGTTAATCTTACACTAAACGATTTAAATTAATAATGGTATTAACGAAAAATTCAGAGTTGTTAATCGCTACTTTTAAAAGTAGCGCGCTACCGCTATTTGTCAAAAAAGTAGCTCGCTATTAGCTATTATTTTTCACAAGTAGCTTTAGCTACTTTTTATAAAAAAAATTTAGAAACAAATTTGTTTTGTTTTTTGCTTATAATGTTATTGTATAGTAAATATATAAAAATCAACATTTATATATTTTAAAATATAGTTAGTTTTGATTATAAAAAAATTTATGTAATAAAAATAAATACTTATGGTAATTTGTTGCATTTTATAAGCTTTTACCTAATGTTATGTGTCCAACTATCTGCTGTGGTACATATATATAATATCTCTGATAACTCTACTATTAGAGCTTCTTTATCACCTTAAAGTTATCTATTTTATTCATTAGAGTCTGGCGACATAAAATTGTTGTACCAGAGAATAGTTTTAGTCATCATGGTAAATGATGGATTATCAACCAAGGACATTGGCTGAACTGTATCAATTATAAAATCAACAATAACTATCCACCAATTTCTGAGAAATATTGACATTTGTATTATTAATCAATTTGGTTTAAATTGAATTAGTCTTTTTGGATGTAGAGTCGCCTATACCAAAATTACTTAAATGTTTCTCCATTTCCTTAAAGCTATTGGTATGAACAGTCTTATAAAATAAATACTATTAGAATGTAAAAATGACAATTTGCCTTTTGGTGTTTCTTGAGGTTATAACTGGATTGATTTGAGGAAATATTTTTTTAACATTTTAAACAAATTAATTTAAAGCTAGTTTTGGTTTTTATATTTATTTTAAAAAAAATTTCAAATCTAGGGAATGGGAAATTTGTATTATAGCTATTAAAAACATTTTCTTTCTTGAATTTTCCATTTCATTAATATCATTGTCTGAATCACTTTCAACGATTTGGATATCCATAGGCGATGACATTTTAAATTATTAACTCTTGATTTAGGTTTATAATACAAATGAAAATATAAATTACAAATTGAAAATATATTTCAATTTCAAAATTATATAATAAATCATAAAAATTATAATTAATTATGATATTATATTTAAATTTTCATGTTAAACTTAACTTCATTATATTTTTTAAAAGTAGCGGCTACTTAGCTACTTTCAAAAAAGGTAGGGCGCTAAAAAATTAAATAATTACAAAAAAAGTAGCCGATATTAGCTACCAAAAAAAGTTAGCGAGCTAAAATTAATATTTGTGATAATTTTCGGGTATTATAAAAAAAATTATTAAAAAAATAGCCTTGATTTACATCGATTAAAATTTTTGAAGAGGATATAACGATTAGGTAGTTAATTTGAGATTTTTGGTTCAGTTCCTTATAAATATTGTGAACTACTTACTAATCTTGAGAAATTTAAACAAAAAAAATCATAATTTTCTTTGCATAAATTTAAGGTAAAAAAATATATAATAAAATCAAGAAATATAGATATAATCAGGGATGTGAACCCTTCGACATAAAAAAAAATGATATAATTTATATTTTTAATGTTTTATTCTCGCACAATCATAATATCTTCTAAAATATTATCCTTGAGATTTCCAAGTAAAGTAGACAATACATATTTCAAACTTACCAAAAATAGATAGTTATCTTTATAAAATATATCGCCGGTACAGCCATGAAGATTCTAGACAAGATATATAATTCTGGATATATTGAAGAATTTTCTTCCCAGAATTTTAAAATATTTATATCCTTATTTATTCTCCTAATTTTTAAGAACTTTACTATTAAAGATGCAATAGCTATTTAAAATATTTATATCCTTATTTATTCTCCTAATTTCTAAGAACTTTACTATTAAAGATGCAATAGTCATTTATTGATCCTCCTTTCTATCTGATGATAATTTGATTTTTTTTATCTAAAAGTAAAATTTCAAGATCATCAATGTTATCATTATTATTATCACTACAAACAAATGGTATTGTAGTAGCCTCCAATATAGTGAAGGTCACGGCCCGGACTGGAACGATACCCTTGGACCGAACCACGATCCTTAAGAAAAAATCGATCCAGACCGTGGTCCTAAAAGACCGGTCCAGGACCGGTCTTTTTATTTGTTTAAAAAACATATTTTTTTTAACCTAATTTAATTTGTTTTATCATTTTATTAAATATAAGAGTATTATATAAACAATAAAATTTATCCAATGGTATTGAAGAAAGTGATTTTGTGCTTGTGGGGGGCATGTTAAAATTAAGAGTAGATTGTGTTTTTAAGATATTTTCATTTTCAACATTAGAAGTATATATTTTATGTTTTATCAGATGTCTGCTTAAGGTACCTAATTATTTTATTAAATAAGGTTAAGTTATTTTGACAATGAATTATTAAAACAGTTTCTTAAGAAAAAATAGAACTATATAAATAATAACCAGAATATTTTAATAATAATACTGCTTATTTTGAATAATTTATTGCTTAAAAAATTATAAACAATTATTTTGTTACTTGTTGCTGACGATACATTAAATTTGGTACTGCAGTGAACACATACTCTGTTTTTTATTGTGACTATAAGTAAAATGTTTCTTGGACAAACTTATGGTTTTCATATTGTAAAATAAAAATTAACAAAATCTAAAATAACTCATCTAGAAAAATATCATAAAATAAAATATACAAAAAAATTATATTAATTAAATAGTAAAGCAAACTTAAATAATAATAAAAGACCGGTCCTGACCGTGGTCTGGACGGTAAAAGATAAAAAACCGGTCCGGACCACGGTCCTCAAAAAAGATCGGTCCGGTCCTGGTCTAAGACAGATAGGATCGGACCGTTGACCTTCACTACTCCAATATATTGAAAATAATGGAGTTTTGTTTATGCCATAAATCTTTAAGATGGTCTTCAGCCATTTGTTTTTGCTCAATACACAATAAAACTTGATATAGAGGGTCTAAATATATAGAGGCGTATACAACATGCAAATATTGTTGCTCTCGAATTTTCATGTTTTCTAATATTTCGTATAAAAAGGACTTGTAAATTTTTCGAAATCTAATCGGCATCTAATCCATATGCCTTAAAATCAAATAAACATAATTGTTCTGATTGTAATCTTAATATTGTTATTTTTAAAGGAACTAATACACTAGTAAGGCCATTTATTTGGCACCAATCATCTTCCGACAAAATGACTTCACATGCTCATAATAAAATCATTACAGAAATCTTTCAAACTTAATAATCGTTCTAGCTTCATACAAATTGAGGACCAACGTGTTGTGCATTATCATTATCATTTAAATTAAAATATTATTACTTGTACTAAAAAATAATTCACTTTCAAAATAATCAACGTATTTCTATAACATAGCATATTAATTAATTTACATAATAAAATATTATTACACTGGAAAATAATTTATGATATCAATCTCTAAATATAATGGAAGTCCAGGAAGAAAATTGAAAGAAAAACGCGAAGATAAAATAAATGATTCCACAAAAAAAGTTAATAAAATTTATATTATTTTTTTTAAAAATATTTTATTTTTAAAAATTTTTATGACACCTAGAACCCTTGGACCCTACACTTTTAAAAAGGGTACGGGTCTGGGTTCAGCCAAAATACGAGGGTTCAAGGTCTGGGTTCACGTCCCATTATATAATATTTATGTTACATATTCATATCAATTTCTATAATATAACTGAGTTTCATTCTCGAAACTTTAATATTTAACAAATAAAATATTTTAACATGCCTCTCAGCTTAGCCAAGGTCCCTCATAAATGTCGAATAAAAATCATTTACACTGTCAACTTCAGCCCTCCCACTCAAAATTTTTTGTGGTATTAAAAAATTAAAACATTGTAAAAATTTTGTTTTCTTGAGAACAATTCATTTATTTCCTTCATATGCATCAATTTTTTCAAATTTAAAATTTCATTTTTCTTTTTCGGCCTGTGTATTTTGAATCATGCGCTACTTTTCTGTCAAAAAAATTTAATATGATTTTTGTTTAAATTTTAAACAATATAATGGTTATTATATTAATATTTTTTAATTACTTTCCTCTTCTTTTCCAGGTTTCTTTTTTTTGCATAATCCATTTTCTTCCCTTTTTTGATTTAAGAACGTTTTTTGATTTGCGTTTATTACTGAGGTAGCTTATCGTATTATGAAATTTTTAATTTTTTAGAAATTATAGCTTCGATATAAAAAAATTTAAAACATCATCTTAATGTATATTAAAATTAAAAAAATGCAATATAAATAAATTTAATCATGCTTTATAAAAAAAATATTTTTAAATATTAAGAGAACTCAAGTGGGCGTCTGATAGTGTTGCGTAATCTAAAAATCTAGCCTAAGGGTAATTAAGTTAAGGATAAAAATTGACTACAACTAATTAGTCAAAATTAGGCATCGGCCGACCAACACCATAATTAATATTTATTTATATTTATTAAAATTATATATAGATATTATTATATTTATTAAGTAATGCTGACGCACATTAGTAGCCTATGCCTTATTAATTTTAGACCATCTTTCATAAAACTCGGTTAAGCCTGGAGTCTGCTAAAATTAACTGATTATTTAACACTAGAAGTCTCTAGCTCTTGTCTCAAATAAGACATATTTTAGATAAGCTCATGCCCCTTCCTGATGACTTATTTATATTAAAACAGACCCATCTTAAATATAGATCTATTTAGTTTATCTATTGTTCTATACCATTTTGATGATTTTGACGAATTTTGAATTTGTGAAGCATTTTTATTTATTGTTTGAGGCCCTAACAAATATTTTAAAATAAGAAATATAATAAAATATTTAAAAATGAATAATTCAATTATAGTATAATTCGAGCTGCATTATTGTTATAAAGTGAGTTCGAGTCACGAAATCATATCCTAAAAGACCCTTTTTACACCATACATATTCAATAATCTCATCAATTCACATTAAATTGTAGTTTTATATCTTGGATGTTAATACCCATCAAACCTTATGATTGGTATAAATTTTTTGCAAGTTTGTTTTGTCTTATTATCTATTATTGCCAGTATCAAATTGAAATATTGTAAATTATTAGTCATAAATATTCATTACCCTTCGTGCACATCATATTGCAAAATTGGTATCGTAAATTATATTTCTATTATCATAACCTGCTATATTAGTTCTTAATTGAATTTTCATGTAAGATTAACTAAATGGCTTACTTTTAACTTAACATTTTATTTTGAACATTTTTAATTCATATCTTACTATTATTTTTTTTATAATTATTTAAATTAATAATAAATATATTGTATTATATAGTATTGTGTATCAAATTTAGGAAAAATTGTCTGAAATTCAGTGTGGGTTACTCCATTAAAAAAAAAATTTCAAAGATTTTTGCTCAAAAAATTTTTGAATAATTTTTTTAAATTCTAATTTCAAATGTAAGCCTTGCTTCGAGAAGAAGCAAACTCTTGATCGTTATTTTGAATAAATTTTTTCAATTTCTATTAATTCTAATAAAAAAATTTTATTTTTCAATGGTGCTTTTATAAAAATAAATTGGGTAATATAACCTTTCTCAATATCCTCGTCATTATCAAAATTATCGCTAGCATTCTCTTCATCCTCCATAGATGTATTTTCATTATCTTCAGACATCATTTCATCGGAATCGCTATCAATATTTTGAAGCTTTTTATAAATTTTTTCGTTTACGAGTTTTGGTTTGGGTAGCGTAAAGTTTAAATTAATCCCAGCAAAAAGGCATAAATATATCCTTTAAAAATAATTTATTTAAAAAAAAATAAATTTAATACATTTTATTATACATTGTCGAACCGAACCTTGAAAATCTAACCGAACCTTTATAATTTAATATTAATAAACCTGAAGCGTACCTTTTCTAAAAAATTTAAAGGAGTTACTTTCATCTATAAACTGGTCAGGTCCATATAAATTTTTATTTTTTAAATATTAAATAATGTAATTTTAAATATTACATATTGTTTTTGTAATCTTAAAACTGTTTAAGACATTTCAAAACTTTATGGAAGCCTAGTTATAAAGTCGTAAAAATTTAACGTTTGGAAAAAATGCATATTTTAAGTTTTTTCGATAAGATTTTAGATTACATTTTTTGATGTGCTGGACACAGCCGGATTCTTTTTTTAAACTTTAATGTATTATATAATTTACTCATATGATGTTACTAATAATTTATAACTAAAGAAACATATTAACAGGACTATAGTCGGGTAAGGGGCTTGTAGTGCGTCACTTAATCCAATTTATTAACATCTTTCAAAATAATAGAGGACAAAGCGTGTTTTTCCAAAACTATATAAAATATAATATATAAATATATTGTACATTTTTAATTTCAAAAACGAACCCTTGCCTTTTTAAGGTTCTTAAAAACAAAAAATTCGATCAAATGGCATTATATCAATTTTGACTAGCCGTGTTTAATGAAGATGAAAAAAATTAAAAATTATTTTTATAAGATGAGTAAGAGCAATGAAAAAATCTGGTAGATACTTTTATAATTATAATTTAAGCAATCAGAGTACGATGTCCAAATCGACGACAAATTAACTATATAATCATATGAAGAAACAACTAATCAATGAAAATGATGAAAAAGAATATGCGTAATTATATTTATCCATAGAAAATTAAATACTATTATATAATTCGTAGAGTTTCTAAGGTGTTTATCATTATTGTTAGAATATTTTTATTCTGATGATTCACCCATTTTAAATCTAATAAGTTAAAGTAAAGTAAACATATAAAATTAGGGCTGTGCCGATATTAAATATCTGATCGAATCGTTGCCGATATTTAGCGTTTTCCGAAAATATCGGATCGGGCCGATACCTGTAAAAATACCGATCAGATCCGATCTTTTTACTTTTCTTTTTTTTTGTTATTTTATTTTATGTTATGTATATTTATTTTACATTATTATAATATTTTCTAAATAATTTTTTTAAATTTTTTTTAAAAAATAGATTTATAGTATTTTAAAATAATTTTTTATAAAAATAGAAAGGAACACCCAAAGTTTTATTTATTTTAAATCTTTTTAAATAACTCCAATTTTTTTATTTATATTTTAAATAAAAGATTTTTTTTAAATATGGTATCTGAATTATGGAAATATTTTACAAATGACAGATAATTTTGCGAAATGCGATTATCTGCGGAATCATCTGAGCCTGCCTTCAGTACGGCAGGAGATATAGATAGTCCATATAGTAGAAGCTTATTTCCAGAAAATCTAGAGGCTCTCATATTTATTAAAAAAATCTAATATATTATAATTTTATATATTAAATATTACAATTTTATAATTCCAACATAAAATGGAATTTTTTTTTCTCTTTAGCTTTCACCTTTTCTGGTGGTAAGCTCCTTCAACATCTCTCTCCACTTTATATTATTCATACAATCTCTTTTATCTCTTTATATTGGCTATAACTTTATGGCCCCATTGAAGTTTTGGCCTTCCTCTTTTACGTTTGCCCATCACTTCCAAACTCTCAACTTTATTTCCTATGTAGTTCATAGGCCTTCTCATTGTGTGCTCATACCACAAGTCTGTTAACCATTAACTTAGTCTTAATGGGCACTACCTTTAAACTACTTAGTATTCTTGTACTGCGCACTTTATCCTTTCTTGTTACACCAGCATTCTCATCTCCATAGTTTGTTGACTTCTCTCGTCTGATTCTTTGGTTGGCCATGTTTCCGAACTATATAGAATAGTTGGTTGTACTATGGAACTGTAAATTTTTCCCTTTAATTTATGTGGGATTCTTTTGTCAAATAGCACTCCAGATAAAGATCTCCACTTTAACCACCCTTGATTAATATTACTCTTTATCTCTTTTTCTATTGTGCCGTTTGTTTGTATAGTAGAGCCCAAATATTGCTTTCAATTGCCGATATCTGCCATTCATTTATATCAATACTCTCTGTTTCATCTCCTCCTATCACCATATACTCCGTCTTTTCTCTATATACTTTTAATCCGTGCGTTTCTAAGATATTTATCCAACTCACTAATCTTTCTTTCATTTCATCCTTAGATTCGGCAAGTATCACAATATCATCTGCAAATATCATATTCCACGGGACTGTTTAAGGTATAGACTGTGCTAATACATCTATTGTAATGAAGAGAAGTAGGCTGAGAGCCGACCCTTGATAAACTCCTTGGGCTATTGTGAAGCCTGCTGAAGTACCTGTTGTGCTACTGACCATTGTTGTATGGCCCATATACATATCCTGTATTATTCTTATATCTTTTTTGGGAACCTTTTTGTGGCGTAGCGCCCACCAGATAAGTTTTCTTGGAATTCTATCGAAGGCCTTTTCTGGATCGAGAAAGACCATGTGTAGCTTTTTGTTCTTTTCCCTGTATTTTTCACTCATTTGCCTAATTGCGTGGATAGCATCGGTTGTTGATCTTCCAGGCATAAAGCCAAACGGAGTCTCTCCTATTTCGATTATATCTCTTAGTCTTTTTTCTAATATTTTTTCGTATAGTTTTAGACAGTGTGACATTAGTTTTATGCCCCTGTAATTTTGACAATTATGTGGATCCCTTTTATTTTTGAAGATAGGAACTAGATAGCTCTGCCTCCATTTTTGGGGAACCTCTTCATTTCCAAGTATTTTATTGTACAGATTTGTGAGGAGGTGTATTCCATCATCTCCTAGTGCTTTAAGGCTTTCTATTGGAATATCGTCTGGACCCCTAGCTTTGTTGTTTTTCATATGCTTGAGGCATGTGATTATTTCTTGTTCTGTTATAGGTTGTACAAGGTTTTGACATGGGGAGTGTTCGTCTAAATGTAGTATGTGGGGATTAAAGTTGAGAAGCTCCTGAAAATATTCTTTCCATCTATTCATTATCTCTTTTTCCTTTATTATCAATTTCCCATCTTTATTTTTGATTACTTTCGGAGCTCCGTTTATATCCCTAGAGTTCTTTTCTCGCTGTTTGGCTAATATGTATATTTTATTTTGCCCTTCGTATGCCATAGATTTGGCCCTAGCCACCGCCTTTGTAGCTATTTTCTTGGATTTTTTGTAATTAGTCTTGTCATCTGGGTTTTCGGATTTGTACCATATTTTATAAAGGGCTTTTTTCTCCTGTATAGTGGTCTGTCCCTCTTCATTCCACCACCATAGTTCTTTGTATAATTTGTTACCTCCCCTTGTCAAGCCTAGTGTCGATTTGGCAGTGTTTATTAATCTGGATGAAAGGTCTGTCCACATTTTTTCAGTGACTTGTGAGGAATCTATTGTTTTAATGTTTGTATTGATTGCAAAGGCATCTTCATTGTTTTTAATTTGCCCCATTTGATGCTTAGTTCCAGTTTTATCTTGTTTTGAGTGGATTAATTTGAGATGTGTAAATCCATGACTAGTAGCTTGTGTTGCACGGCGATATCTTCTCCTGGGATGACTTTGCAGTCTATTACATCTTTTAATCTTCTGCGAGAGATTAGCATGTAATCTATCTGTGTTTTCCTTGTACCACTTTCATATGATATTAGATGACTGTCTTTTTTCCTATAGTGGGTGTTGGTTAAGGCAAGGTCGAAGGCTTGCACAAATTTTAGTACATGCTCTCCTTCATCATTTCTTTCTCCATATCCAAAACCACCATGATGCCTTTTGTAGCTATCTCTTGCTTTCCCCACATGCGCATTTAAGTCACCCACCACCAATTATGACTAGGTCATCCTTAGGGATTTCCATTACAGCTTCATCAAGGATAGCTCTAGAGTCATCTTTCCCTTCTTCCTTGTAACCCGTTTGAGGAGCATATACTGAAAGGATGTGTAGTATTGATTGACCAATGCAGAGTTTTATCTTCATTAGTCTATCATAGATCCTGTTGACATCTACTACTGAGGAGGTTAGATCTTGACTGAGGATGATGCCGAAACCGTTCCTATTGCTAACAATTCCATTATAGTACAATTTATACCCATCTCCAATCATGAAAGTTTTCTGCCCTCCCATTTCGTCTCTTGTATGCACGCTATATCAACTTTTCTCTTGTTCAACATTGATGTCAATTCTCTCGTCTTACCTTTAAGCGTCCCAATATTCAAACTTGATAATCTTGTCTTCTTTGCTATGACCTTTACTTTACTTTTCACAGGATGGAGGTCTATACACTGCGCGTCGCTTGGAGGGAACGCTTTAGCTTTCATATTTTTATTTGTTTCCTTCATTTTGTTTATTGGACATGTATCCTTAGCACCCGGCTGTCCAGGCCTGTCGGTGACTGGTATGTCATCTCTAAGCTCCGAAATTCATCATACCATATGTCTTTACACATCAGTCATCGAAGAAAAACTTGAAAGTTTTTATATCCTTACCAGGATTGAACCTGCGTCCTTGTTCTTACTTCTGTTTCCAAGCATACATCTACATTAGGCCACCCCTATTATTAAATATATATTTTTTTATTATAGTCTTAATTGTAGAAATAAAAAAATTAAATTATTCATAATTCGATTTTTTGCATAAAAAATAGATTTCTTAATTACATTTGGTTAAAATGGGGGTGATTAAAAATCAGTAATAATATCGGATCGGTTTCGAATCGGGTTTAAAGCAATATCGGATCGGATCGGTGAAAAATATGTGGATCGGCACAGCCCTATATAAAATTAAACCAACACAGACACACAATATAGAAAGATAATCTATTTAGTATTTATCATATAATAAATTAAAAATTCAATTAAAAATAAATTCGTAAAAATAAATTCAGGGATTCGAACCGTACCCGGAGAAGAAAACATGGGTCTTGGAAACAAATCTGAACCCGAACCGAACCTGAACCCCGTTTATCAAATTTTCAAAACCCCGAACCGAACCCGGGAATTTTATTTGACCCCGGTTCAACCGGGTTCAGTGTATTGACAAAAATCATATATGATATTTGTATAATTTTAAATATAAATATTAACAATTTAATTGAGATTTTATAATATTTTCAGATTTCCAATTAATTGAAGCATGTTAATAAATTTTAAATAACTTAATTCATTTACGCCATTTTTAAATTTATTCTCAGATTCCTATTGGAGTGTTAATAAATTTTGAACAATTAAATTCATATACGCTATTTATTTTTAATTTTTAACTTATTCTCAAAGATTATTAATTAGAGGAAAATGAAAGGGAACAAGTCAAAGTAAAAATTTTTAAAATTGATGCTTGACTATGCTTTATATTTTTAACAATATTTTGCCTATAAATAAAATAAAAAATTTATTTTTTATACTAAATTTATGTCTAGTTTTTTTAATTATGATTTAAATATAGATTTTTTTTATCAATTTAAAAATTCTTAAACCCGAGCTGAACCCGGAACCAAACCCGGGTTCAAAAATATTTCCCTGAACCAAACCCACCTATTTTTTTTAAACCTTAAACCGAACATGGACAAAAATTTTGCCGGGTTCGTATCCTGCCGGGTTCGTATCCCTGTATAAATTAATTAACGTTGATTAGTGATATATCCCTCATGTGATGAATAAATAAACAATACAATATATTTGATAAAATAAAAAATTTTTATTATATATTTAACAAGTCCTTAATGTAAATATAACTCAACACAAGGAAAGATTAATCACATAATGTGGTGATTAATGATATAAAGCAACATTTTAAATTCTTTATTTAAATATATATTCTTTTATATCTCTACTTACTAAAATTAAGGATAGGTAAATTATTTCCAATCATTATTTAGAATATTTAATACAAGAACAACCAAACCTCAAATTCAAGTTAAAAATAATATATATTTAAATAAAAGAATTTAAAATACTTAATGTCATTACTCTCCACACTAAATGTTAAATCTTTCATTGGCCTTGAGTTCTCCTTACATTGAGAACTTAATAAATGTATAAAAATTTTAAAGTGAGAAGTTTAAAATTACTTTATCAAATTTATTGATTGTAAATTCATCATATGAGGGATTAATCTTCTATATAATATTTAACTTTTGTGCACATGTGTTAGTTTAATCTTATATGAACATTGAACATTACTACAACTTATTAGACTTAAAATGGGTGAATCATCAGAACAAATAAAAAAAACAATATAAATGAACACCATAGCAGTTAACCCTAATAATTATATAATACTATTCATTCCTCAGAGGATAAATATGGCTAATTTTATTGTGGTCGTTGACTTTTTTTCTTTCTTTCTGTCGTACTCTGATTGCATAAATTATATAAAAAAAATTATCTACCTGGGAAGCTAAAATTTTTTCTAATATTTATGTGCGCCCCTCCCCAATTATAGCCCTTCCTAAAGAGAGATAACAAATGTCAAATATGCCACATAATACACAAAAGAATACAGTTGTATCTGTCGATTTATAATTGACATTTATGGATGTTTTTCAATATATTTTCGAGAAGAATATGTTTTGAATTTTCATTTGTTTATTGATATTTTGATATATAATCATGGGATGTTATATTGGTTTTTGAAATAATATTTATATGAAATAAAATGATGGGATGAAATATTGGTATATGTGAAATGTAGAAAATTAGATAACCCGAACTTTATCTATTAGTAAAAATTGCTATGCTAGTCCCAGCTAGTGTTATTAAACGGCTCGTTTTGAGACGATTTTTAAAAACGGCTAACTCAATATTTTAGCCAGAAAAATATTGCCGAAGCCTCAAAATTTTGGTAATAGATGTCTAAACCTTTGTTCCTTCTACAAACAAAATCTTCAGGCTTGCGTTATATTATTCTAGTTGAAATATTGAGTTAGCCGTTTTTAAAAATCGACTCAAAACGAGCCGTTTAACAACACTAGTCCTAGCTATAGAGGTTTCGGTCGAAAAAGCATTTTCAGGACTCATAAATATTCTATCACCACAGAGAATATAATTTGACAAACATATTAGATGATATTTTAATTACTGTTATTATCATTTTTATATATAAATAACTATTGATAATTATATGGGTTAACTCTAAACTGTGATTTAATTCTTATTATGCCTCTATCATGTCATAAAATAAGATTGAAATTATTTAGAAATATATATTGGTACCTGTGTAAAAAAATAACTACTGAATCTTTATGAATTTTCATTTAAAGATTACTTCCACAAAATTTAATTATTTAACCGCCAAACCTATATATTAAATCGACAGTCTGATATTATACATTAATTTTTATGATAAACTTTTTGGCCTTAGAGCTATTAGGGAAATCGATAACTAATCCACCTGTAAAACCGGCTCGCATAGCTTGTTTCGTTATTAACTCTATCTTTTGCATTAAATTATTAAAATTAATCGATTATTAATATATAATTTTTATTTTTCTATTTCAAATATCGAACATTGGCGTCAGTAGAGAGGGGCAAACGGCGTACAATGAGCACGCCTAAATTAGTTAAGAGAAACATGTTATCAAAATTATGAGAGAGCTAGCAACGCCAATGGTCTTATAATTTTAATATTTTGATAATCAATTTTTAAAAAGTATAAAATAAATAGAAGGCATTCAAATATAATAAGTTTTTTAAAAACCTGTGCATCACAGTCAGGATAAATTTGAAAAATGGCTCGTGCATTACGTCTCTTTGGTAGAGCATTATTAATAAAATAATAATAATAGAAAAAATACTAATTATTTTATTATACCAATGAAGAATACAAAGTGACAAAGAATTTGTATAGTCTTTTAGGTATCGATTGTTGTCTATTGTCAGCAGAGCACAACCATTGTAAGGCGGATATGCTTTTGTGGTATAATAAAAAATAATTAATATCATTTTTTAAAAATAAAATACTTATAATAATTTTTTAAGAAATCTTGATCGTAAAAGGTCTCAAAATACATTCTACCACCAGTTAACAGCTGCCCGAAAGTAATTTAAATAAGAATAAATAAACACTTTGTTCAAAAAATTAACACGAGCTTATATAAATATATTTTTACATTTACTTTAAAAAAAATGATAGAAGATACAAAATTAGCAAGAAGTAGAGTGATCAGTTAATTCATGGTACAAAAAACAAGTAGGTCAGGTACTAAACATGATGCATTTTTTAAAATAAAAATATCAAATTCGTATTGGAAATAAAGTTATGGATTGAACTTATCTAATCACATAAATTTCAATCGATTAAAATATTTGATTATGGAGTGCTTGAGTTTTACCTTAAAAAATTCGAAAATTCTTCATTTAGAAATTTTAGAAACCGCCAAATCAAGATATTTGTAAAAAAATATTACATAAGCCTCAAAACTTTTCCAATGAGGGCCAAACATTTATGCCATGTTTTGGTCAAATCTCGAGGGTTAGCTAGGTAATATTATTTATTTTAAAACCCCTAAATTAAGGTTTTTACAATACTTTTAGAAAATAGAAACTAATAAGGTTTTATTTTAAACATATCTTTATTTTGTCCTCAAACAAGGAGGCATCATTCCATCCGGATCACATTTTATGCATAACAATTCATAGAGTCCGTCCTGCAGGGTCGACATATCAGCCGATCAAGTAGTAACAAAAATCAAATATAAGCCCAGCCTGTGGCCCAAAAAATTTCAATTACATTTTCTTCCTATTCTCTTTTTGCCTGTATGAATAAAAAATATCTGGTGTGAAATTTTTACTATTCATTTTCATATGATATTCTGGAATACAAGAAAAATAGTGAATATTTAAATTTAATTCATAACATTTAATAAAAAATAAAATTTATATTTTGAGATTCCTTCCCTATAAGCCTAAAAAATTCAGGCTTCAACAGGCTGGGTCTAGGTCTAAAAAATCATCGGTACTGCATAGCAGGCGGTGGAAAAAACCGTTTTCAGGTCTCTAGAACCCTTTCAATTTAGGTTGCCTTAATAATTTAATGATAAAGAATTAACAAAAGTATAAATTATTTTTTTAAAAGAACTTATATCTTATTATAAGTGAATATTTTTAAGAGATATGCCTAAATATTTATATAAAGGGTTGCCAGAATATGGTTCAAGGATCAGTGCATGACTAAAAATATTTTATAGAGGCTTCCCAACCAGTTATTTATTTAGTTAGGTCTATAAATATTCTTTATGAGGAAAAAAATTTGATATTTCAAAGATTTAAAAAATTCCAGGCCAGTTTGGCTAAAATTTTTTTTGAATAATTTGTTTGGCCCAGCTGGGAAAAATATTATACAGGTTTCCTAGATCAAATTTATTTTAGTTAAGTTTTCATGCCATGCTGATCTCTGATGTTAATTTTTGATTTAGAATCAGAATTTTATTATAAAAAATTAAATAATAAATTAAAACATCTTATAAATTATTTTAATATCGAATTAAAAATGAATCAAATCCAGTGTTGTTAAAAAGCCTGATATGGGTAGGTTTTTAAAAATGGCCAGAATAAGATTTTAGCTAAAGTAATATTGTGTAAACCTCAAATATATGGCTCTGCACCAATTTAATAAATGTATATTCAAATGGAAAAATAAAACTTAAAAACTAAATTTTTAAAATATATAATAAAAGGATAATTTATATTTAATACCTTATAGCAGCATCAAATGAACCAGGTCTAAAGGGAATACCTTGGCCTAAATCTGATAGTATTAAATCTCCCTCCACTTCTCTTTCAATGGCAATATCTAAGAATATTATTTTAATTTATTATATAAAGATAAATTTAAAAACCTAACATAGATGTGCTTATATCCATTCCTATCCACATGTGGTCTGCTTCTGAAATACAATTTCCACTCAAACCTGAACCACAACTAAAATAAAAAATAAATATTTTAAATCATTTAGTATTAGGAATTACCAACAAGAGAAATATATTCATATCTTTATTATAAATTGGCAAAATTATAACGCATTTACCCTAAATCCAAAATAAAATATTTATCATTCTCTGGGATAGCTAGGAGTTCAATAGCTCGTTCACTCATTTCTGATTGTATTTGTATCATTCGTGAACTATTTAAATAAAGGAACAAATTAAGTTTTCTAATTAATGATTTAAATGTAAAATTTGATTTTCAAATTTAATTGAAATACTATGTTTTTTTTGTAATGCTATATTTTCTCTTGAAATAGTTTTTTCTAGGGTATTGTGTTGCTATTTTTTTTTTGAATAGGCGTAATTTAGAAATCTGCATCAGAACGGTTTGTATGGATAATCAGATTTCGGCCGACCCTCTTCGATTTTTTTAAAATTTGGTAAGCAAAGAAAGGTCAATGTAACTAAGAAATAGCCAAAATTTTAGCCTCCTAACATTTATATTTTTGAAGATATTAGGGTTCAAAGTGGCAAAAATGACCTATTTTTATCATTATCGGTCTTCATTCAATTAAGCATATCTTAAAAACTACATAATTGTAAATAACAAATTTAATATCAAAATTACGTACAAAGATTCTACTTTTAGATAAAAAAAAATTTTTATTTTTTTTCCCAATTTCCGGTCATTTTATTTAATATATAAGGACTAAAAACGATTTTTTGGAAATGATACGACCTTCAATTTTTTTAAAATATTTAGTAGACATTATTAAACTCTTCCTTTATATTTATAAAAAAAAATTGGTCTGGGACGCGGCCATCTTCATTCTCAAAATCGATAAAAATGTTTAGAAAAGTGTATAAATATTTTCCCGAAAGGGGGCGTCTTTGTATAAAATTATATATTAATCAGTTTTTAATGGTTTTTCTTGGACTATTTGATATAATTTAAAGGATTATTCATCTTGTAAGTGAAAATAACAATAAATGGGGTTTTCATTCAATTATAGAAATTGTCTATCGATAAAAGAAATTCAATTTATTACTTTATTATAAAATTTTTTGCCCATATAACATATACTTAATGAATATTAATAAAATATATTCAACCAAGTTTATAGTTCTTGAATATATGAATCAGAATCTTGTTCATTTCATAGACGCCAAAAATAATATCGAAATTTTCTCTACTCAATTTTTTAAAATAATTTGATATTTTTAAAATATTACAAATATTAATTTATTATTATTATGAAATTATATACAAAATAAAAGTATTATCATAAAATTACCCAAAACAATATAAATATTGGATCGGATTTTCTAAAATCGGCATAGTCTTACTAAATTAGAATAACAATAAATAAGTGTTTCAATCAATAAAATAAATAAAAATTTTAAAATTGATTAACCCTTTCGCGCCCAGCGAGATCATTTGTCATTAAAATTTTTAGTCAATTAATTTTTATATTTAAAGAAACTAATGGTTGGTACTTAGAGATATTAATTTATAAAACAATATTTATTATTTCATATTTTATCATTAACCTGTCAAAATCATTATTTTATTATATCAAAATGTCAAAATGATTATTTTATTATATCAAAGTACAAGTATTTTTTGTTCATGGGAAATATTTCGGGCGCGAAAGGGTTTTATTCATTCAATAACACATGCTCACTATATTAATTCATTTTTTAATAAATTTCTTGGTATTTTGATTTCTATCAACACCTAACCCCAAGCCTGGAAAAACTATAGATGAATATACAGTTAAAATTGTACAAGAATTTTATTGTATGGACGAAATAAGCAGAATCATGCCAGTCAAGAAAGATTGCGTTTCGATTTTGACCAAAGACGGAAAAAAGAATACCATACCATACATAAGAGATTAATTTTAGATAATTTGAAAAAAATTTATATATTTTTTAAAGAAATGAGGCCTGATGTTAAAATTGGTTTTTCGAAATTCGCAAGCATTCGCCCAAAAATTGTATACTCGTTGAAGGTAGTGGTACACATGTATGTGATTGCAGCTACCACCAAAATTTTAAATTAATGATCATTGGATCAAATTTAACCAATGATATGTTGCCCTTTAAAACATACAAACATATTTTACACTTAATAATTTGTAATTCGCCTCAACCATCCAGTTATATGGGCAAATGTGATAATTGTCCAGGGTCAACATATTTACGCGATCAAATAGAAATATTGTTTCGTTCTAAGGACATCGAATTTATAACATACAAACAATGGCTATCCGTAGATAGAACCACTCTTGAAACAATAACCAAACCAGTAGGTGAATTTATCAATGCCTTTTTTAAAAAAATGGAATCTTTATCATTTTTTTATTTCAACGCAACAATCGTTGTATCAAAACAATCTAAAATTGAACTTAGACGAAGACCAATATTTAATTTTGTGATTTTTAAGAAAACTATAGCTTTATACTTTAGGATGAAGTACAAAATTATCATTGGAATAAGGCTCAATCCACTGTTCACCCTTTTGTTATATATTATAAAGATAATTTTACCATTATTTGTTGCCTAAATTATGTAATGATATCCGAATCTTTGCAACACAATACAATAGCAGTACATAATTTTAAAAAAACATTGCTAAATTTTTTAATTAATAAAATTTTTTATTTTCCGGTGGATCCGCTGCACAGTATAAAAACGTAAAAATTTTATTAATATTTGCCATCATGAGATGGATTTCGGGGTACAGGCGAAATGGCATTTTTCTGCTACAGCACACGGGAAAAGTGTTTGTGATGGGATTGGTGGCACTGTTAAAAGATTAGCCGCTAGAGCTAGTTTACAAGGCCTTACTCAAAGTACACATCATATGAATTGTACGAGTTAGCTAAAGAAAATATTAATGTCATATATTTTGAATAGATGACCAAAATAAATTATGATTACGAAGATCTATTACTCAGGGAAAGATTTTCAAAAACTAGATCTATACCTGGAACACACAAAATACACCTTGATTCCAACAGATCTACATAATTTAAAAGTAAAATATATTCCAATTCAATAGAAAGTACTTTAGAATAGTTATCATATAATGATGAAAGTATAATTATTGGAGAAATATCATGATACCTAACTTATCCTTATGATTCTAATTGGTGGTTAGCTTTGTTTTAGTGAAAAATCAAAAGCAGGAAGAAATATATATAAAGTTTCTACACCCATCCGGACCTTCTAATTCCTTTACATTTCCAAGATAGACGACACTCTTTGCTTGCCCAAATGTCATATCTTGACATTAGTTTCACTGTTAAATGCTACTGGCCGTAGTTATACAATACAATGTCGTCACAAGAAAGTAAATGCGCTACCGAAAAATTAGAATCTTTTAAAAGTAAGTTTAAATTTAAATTATAGTAATTTTTTTAATATTTAGGGCGCCATATATGAAATGCACAAGATTCTGATTCATATATTCAAGAACTCGAAACTTAATTGAACATATTTTATTAATATTTATTAAATATATGTTATATGGGCAAAAATTTTTATAATAAAGTAATAAATTGAATTTCTTTTATCGATAGACAATTTCTATAATTGAATGAAAGCCCCATTTATTGTTATTTTCACTTATAAGATGAATAATCCTTTAAATTATATCAAATAGTCCAAGAAAAACCATTAAAAACTGATTAATATATAATTTTATACAAAAACGCCCCCTTTCGGGAAAATATATATACACTTTTCTAAACATTTTTATCGATTTTGAGAATGAAGATGGCCGCGTCCCAGACCAATTTTTTTTATAAATATAAAGGAAGAGTATAATAATGTCTACTAAATTTTTTAAAAAAATTGAAGGTCGTATTATTTCCAAAAAATCGTTTTTAGTCCTTATATATTAAATAAAATGACCGAAAATTGGAAAAAAAAATAAAAAATTTTTTTTATCTAAAAGTAGAATCTTTGTACGTAATTTTGATATTAAATTTGTTATTTACAATTATGTAGTTTTTAAGATATGCTTAATTGAATGAAGGCAGATAATGGTAAATAAAAATACGTCATTTTTGCCACTTTGAACCCTAATATCTTCAAAAATATAAATGTTACGAGGCTAAAATTTTGGCTATTTCTTAGTTACATTGACCTTTCTTTGCTTACCAATTTTTAAAAAAATCGAAGGGGGTCGGCCGAAAATCTCATTTTTTTGCTCATTTGACGTGGAATGACCCGTACAGCCTTATTTAAATTGTCATATATAATGAACAAAATTTAATACAAATTATTATTTTTTAAAATAAATATAAAATTCTATTCAAAATTATCGCCCCAATATGAAAGGATGATTATTTTGACCCAGCAATTTTAAAATTTTGTTATATTATCAATATCATATGTAACTGTGACTATTCTTTATGACATTTATTATTAAGATTTTGGCACACATTCCAGTATATTGATTTCTATAAAAACATCTTCTATTCTAGGTTGATACTTACTAAGTTTTTGTTTGAGTAATTCAGTTTTTTCATTAGGATTAAGATCTGGAACATGAAAACAAATTGATATTATAATGTTTTTATATAAGCAGTATGACAAGGATTTCTATCTTGCTGGAAGGTGCAATATTTTCCATGCACTAATAAATGAATTGAGAAGATTAACTACTTCATTAAGGATATCTTGCCATAAAATTTTGAATATGAAATTAGTTCTTTTCATAGTTTCTCACTATCTAATTTTGCTAATGACAATATTATCCTCAAAATTTTCAAGGAGAGAAATATTGAACATCCATGATAAGTTGTTGATTAAAAAAATCTTTCAGTTAAATCTGATTAATAATAGCAACAAATACCTCAACTCAGTAGCTTTGAAGTGCATCATTTGGGTGTTAATCTGGAAATTCCTGAAGACTTCTTTATGACTAAGTTATAATATTTCAATAAAATATTTTTGGGCTTTATCAAAGTCATATTTTCATTAATAAATATAGTTGGATAATTGCATTTTTTTAGGCTAAGCCTATTTAATTTTGTTTCAGAAAGTTCTAAAATGTTGAATATGACAATTGTCAACCTTCTGAATTACATTATTGAATTACCAATAAAACAGATTTAAAATATTATTATGTATTTCATTAAAAATATTGGAAAAGTTTATGATGAATATCAAAATTATATTGAATTTCCTCTAAATAGATTTAAAATATTCATTTACCTAATTTTATTAAAAAACATTGGAAAAGTTATAAAATAATGAATATGACAATTGTCAACCATCTGAATTAAATTTTTATAAAATTTATAATAAGGCAGAATTTTAGCCAATCAAAATCAGCTTACGCTAAGTCTTAGCCAAAAAAAGATTGGCTAAATTGGATCAGGCCCATCATTAGCCAAAAAAATTGGATAGCCTAAGAAAATTACCCATAGAACTTACAAAAGATTTACTATCTTCAAATATTTACCAGTTGTTTTAGCTCAATTATTTCAAAAATATTTGAGATGTATAATGTTTTAAAATGACATATTGTATTTAATAAAGCTTCAGTATCAAGAGACTTTTTTGATTCAAAAGATTTGTTGCTATATCATTTAAAATAAAAATTCCTTTGTCCACCTTTTCGTTTTACTAATTTTTTGAAGCCTTTTAAATTTTTTGAACTTTTTTGAACTTATTACATGGTATTCATATATTTTGGCCTATATCTCAATCTTTTTATTTTAAAGTGGTCTGTTAAGTAGATATTCTTTACTTCAAGATTTTTATAAGTATCATTAACATATAAATGATAATATAGTTATACCAAACATAAGAACTAACTGATAACACTTGCTTAATTTGAGCTTTGCAAATCAAAATTCATTTTACATTTTACTTCTATGTCACAATTCTCCATATTCTTGATTTATATTCATTTTTAATAATCAAAAAAAAAATTTATATAAAAATTTCTAAAGCCCTTGTTTTTTTATATAATGCCAAGGCCCCATTGGACTTTTTCCCATTATGCTTACTGACCAGTCACCATACACATATTAAAAATGGAAAAATATTTGTATATTCCAGTTTGTATTATAAAAATTGAATATAATGAAAAGGATGAATTAATATCTCCAATATTTAGAATAAAATTTGCTGAGCCTGAATTAAGATATATGAATTATTAATTTGTAATTATACACTATCAGCAATGCTTTTACAGAACTTTAGAAAGTTTAAATTTTTTTATATTGAAAACAGCCTAGATATTTTATATATAAAACATGAGTTACATTATTTTAAGGTATAACATTTATACTTTAAATTTAAACAAGATTATGATTTTATAAAAAACCTAGCATCTAAATCATACCCTTTAATCAATAATTTTGTAATTTTACTTGTTCGTATATTTACGGGATTCTTTTTCATTATAAAACTATAAATATTAAATTAAGTAGGTTAAATTATAATTCACAAAATACCAGGTAAGCCGGACCAGAATACTCAGGCCTTCGAAAATTTGCCATATTTTTATGAAAAATTCATGCTATTTAAACGTGTTTAGTCGAAAAAGATATTGAACGACATTTTGGGTAACATCATTTTTAAGGGTGTATCTGATTGATTTAAAGTAAATATTCATATATATGTTGTATTCCAAAATCAACCAAAAAATGTAGAATCTCAACCTGACTCCCTTTGATTTTTTTAAAAATTGAATTTTTAGTATAAAGACTAACTAATAAAAATGTAAAATCGGTGCCATAACCTAGATGCACCTCCTCATTACAGTATTTTATTACCTTTTTTTATAATAAATAATAACGATTCTTTATTTTTATATAGCTTATACCCGTTTTTTTAAATATTTATCACATAAAAAAAAAAAATTTCTTTTGAAATTGTTTAACTTTACGGCCATCTTTAGAAATGCAAAATTTAATTTAGAAATGCGAAAATTCCAAAATACACTATATTTATAAATATATCAAAAATTAATTAAAAAACATAATTTAAATTTTATTAATAGGTCATGAAACCCTTTAATATGATATTAAATTGATTTAATTAAAATTACCAAAAGCGGGAAATAGAAAACCGGAAATGCCTATAAAATAAAAATCGACCTCTTTTTTCTCTTAAATTTTTTTTACAGATAAACATTATACTTCCTAATATTTGTGCAAAGTCCTAGATTTGGACAAATATTGGGTAAAGAGTTATTACAATTCAAATATAATGTTGCTTAAATTTTTATATTAAATATATAGTAATTCATTTATTTTTAAAAATGAGTAATATATGTGAACAGTAGCATTAAATATAAAATCCTTAAAAAATCCCATTATTTTGCGTTTATTAAAATTGTATTGTTTTAAATATAAGGCAAACGCCTTAATTTAGAAGTCATTATAAGAAATAAATAACAAGATTTTGTGAAAATTAATAAAGTAAAAAACTATGATAATTAAAAGTGAACTTAATAATCTCTTCACCCCACATAAAGAGAGAATAAAAACCTAAAAAAAACTTTATAATAATTTGTGAGCATTATAACAATTTTGGGATCAAGGCAAAATGGTATTTTTTTGCAGCTGCACTTGGCAAAACCCCTTGAGATAGTTTAAGGAGTATTACTAAGAGGTTAGCGTTTAGAGCAAGCCTGCGACGTCCTTATGAAAATTATATACTAACACCTATGGATTTATATAATTATGCGATAATTAATATCTTGAGGGTTAATTATATATTTGTCAGCAAATTTAAGAATGGAAACATCTCAAAAATAGATTTTTAACGGCCAAACGACTTCCGGGACACAAAAAATATTAATTTTAATCTAATTCCTTCGATTATTTGATGTATGATATTATTTAATTAACATATTTATGGAAATATTAATTTCCCATTGATAGTTATTTAATATAAATAATTCTCTAAATAAGTTTTAAATATTTTTACAATTATTTTATTTCTAAAAAAAATAACTAAACTTATGTGTTAAATATTACACAATGTCTACTAGTGATCTGCATAGGGCCTTTTCTAGCCCTCCGAAAGATTTATAAAAATATATATACGGCTCGAATGTTTATTTATTTGTCCCTAAAAGCCAGATGCGAAATAATAATTATTTGTTTTCGGACAGAATTTATTATATAGAGTTTATCATTATACTGAGCTAAATTTAGTTTATGATTCTACAAATAAATAAAAAAAATATTAGCTATCCATTTTATGAAAAATTATAAAATATATTCATTTTAGGGCAATAATATCATTGTTTTAGAGAAAAAAAACCCTGGAAAAAAAACCCCGGAAAAAAACCCCGGAAATAAAACTCCCAGGAAATAAAATCCCCGGAAAAAAACCACCAGGAAATAAAACCCCCGGAAAATAACCCCCAGGAAAAAACCCCTTGGGATTATTTTTATACACTCTCATATTTAAATATATTCTAGCAATAATTTATATTGAATTGGTATTTATACAATTGCAAGTTAATAATTTGTTAAAAATATTATGACTTCATCAACTTTTTGCTGATAGACCATTCATGCTTCCTCCACCCCCACCTCCTCCTACTGTCACGGGCCTTGCTGGAGTTGGTGTGCCTCCTATGAATATGATGCACCATCTAAATTTACCCCCTAATATGATGGTTTATTTATATTTACTTTTTATACTTAAAACGTTATGTATATATTCTAAATTATTAGAAGTAACTGCTTGCATAAATAGGCCAATCCAAACAGATTTTTTTAAAATACAAATTTATTTAAGCAGATAATCAATTTTTAGAAATACATCTGTATATAACTTGATTGGTTGTTAGCAGCCAGTATATAAAGAAATAGAAACTTAATTCATTGCATATTTAAAAGATGAATATTGAAATAAATTCGTGATTTATTATAATAGAAACAAATATAAATTGACCCAATATACAATTTAATTCAGTTGTTGAAACCATTAAAATGCAAATGGAAAATACTCGATTTTTTTGCATTTGGTATTTTGAATATATGTGATAATTTTAATTTATTCATGATTTCTCACCTCATTGATATGCAACTACCTTTAGTTTTTAGCTTATTAAAAGTTTTAAAATGTATTTTTAACCAAAAGAATAAAAATTGTTTATTAATTAAAAACGCTATAATTGATATTTAGACAATTGCAAGTTAATAATTTGTTAAAAATATTATTGTTCAGCAACTAGTTAAATGAACAGATATTAAAATGTATTGTTTTAAAATGTATTTTTAATCAAAAGAATAAAAATTGTTTATAAATTAAAAACGCTATAATTGGTATTTAGAAAATTGCAAGTTAATAATTTGTTAAAAATATTATTGTTCAGCAACTAGTTAAATGAACAGATATTAAAATGTATTATGATCATTATGTTTTAAAATGTATTTTTAATCAAAAGAATAAAAATTGTTTATCAATTAAAATATAAAATTAAACAATAATAATTTGGATCTTTATGCCGTATATAAAGACAAAAAAAAAATTAAATTTACAAAAATATTTTATTTATAAAATTTATATTTTATAAAAAAAAATTTAATGGATCTTATTCATCCTAGAAAGCTCATATTTGAAGGTTATTCTTATACCATACATAAAAAATGCTCAAACAAGATTAGATGGCGCTGCTCAAAGTATTCTTCTTTTAAATGCCGAGCAATACTTTTTTCAACACTCGATAATCAAGACCCGGTTCTTGATACAGCTCATAATCATCCATCAAATATTGATGGACTAGTAGCAATGAAATCCATTGTTAACATGAAGAAGCGATGTGCAGACTCTTTGGCAAAACCTCTTCAAATTTATACAGAGGAAATTGTAAAATTAGACCAAAGAGTTCAGTCGCATATGTTATCGGAAGATTCTATAAAAAGAACTCTAAGGAATCACAAAACAATGCAACACCCTTCAAATCTTGAGAATTTGAAAGACCTAGTTATTGAAGGTATTAGTTTAAATATAATTATATTTTCATAAAAATTTAAATATTATAGGTGATTGGGCAAATTGTGGCTCCCAGAACTCAAAACGATTTTTATTATTTGATAATGGCCCACAAGCTGAAGAACGCATAATAATGTTCGCAACAGATGATTCCTTGAATCTAATATCTAATAAGACAGAGTGGTATATGGATGATAATTTTGCCATGTCCCCAAAAAATTCTACAATTATATGTGATTAGAGTAGCAATAAACAATATTTTTATTACAGCGGTTTATTGTGTACTCCAGAAAAAAACTCAAAGTACTTATGAAATAATATTTCAAACAATAATGTCTAAATGTCAGAAGAGGGATTTATTTCCTGATCCATTATATATATATATGGATTTCGAAAAGTCTGCTATGACCGCGGTTAAGAGTATCATTGGTATGATTATCAATATGTATAATAATTTATATTTATTTTTCCAATTAGGGGATCACATCGTAATTAGAGGATGAGTACACATAGAAAAATTCAGAAGCTGGGTCTGTAAAGCGAATACAGGACCGATGAAACTCTAAGTTTTTTTGTGGCATGATGGACGGCTTAGCATTCGTTCCGTTATGTGATATGGACAATGCAATGACATTCCTGAGATCAGTTACTCCGAGCAATGGTAAGGACATTCTTGATTATTTCGATAAAAATTATGTCAATGGAGTATCAAGGGAGGTCATGAGAAGCAATTCTCAATCCCAAACACGTCGAAGTGAGCCTCGATTTCTTCCAGAAACCTGGAACGTGAATCAGAGCACTCTCTCAGATGAAGAACGAACAAATAATCAATGCGAAGGTTGGAATTATCGTTTTTCTAATCTGGTTGGGAATAAACACCCATCAATCTGGGTACTCATTAAAAAAATGAAATGCGAGGTGGCTGCCGACGAAACCAAACTTGAAAGATGGCGCGTAGGTAGTTGGACATCGAAAACAAAATCGCAGAGTTCTAACAACCAGATTCGGCTAAAGAAACTTTGCGAAGAATACCGTGATGGGGTGCGAAGCCTTCCAGATTTTATAAGAGCGATATCCTTCAATATTCGATGTCAACCAATATAATTATTATAAAATTTGTATATACATAATCATGATTTACCAATAAAATAAACATTTCTTATTTCTAAGTTTTGTCAAATTTAGTCTATTTAATATCATATTTAAAGATGGTATTGTATTTTTACTATACTTAATTTTTTTTACAATACATAGTTATTTTACTGAGGCATTTTTCCCCAGTACCAATTTAAACATCAGTTTTTCTTATTTAAGCATTTTTTTATGGAGAGTAGGCCAAATAAAAATATACCTTTATTATTAGTTCTTAACTAAATTCTATAAAAATGAAAAAAAATTCATGGGGGTTTATTTTCCGGGATTCATTAATTTTATATAAAATTTAAGCCTGATCGAGTCCAAACTTTTTTAAAACATTTTTTTTTAAATCTAAATTTTAAGTTTCCTTTTAATTATGAATAAATTTTAATATAAATGATATTTATGAACGATTGTATCTATACTTCTACATTTAAAGTGTAATAACTTCTGGCCCAATACCTGTCCCAATAAAGAATTTTGTACAAATATTAGGAAGTATAATGTCTATCTGTAAAAAAAATTAGGAGAAAAATTTATTTTATTTTATAGGTATTTGAATTTTGAATAAAATTAATTTTATATTTAGCTTAATTAATTTTTGAGATATTTAAAATTAAAGTGTATTTTGGAATTTTCGCTTTTCTAAAGATGGCCACATAAGTAAGCTTTTGGGCATTAAAATTTTGTGTTTTTACTAGTTAGTTATACTACCATCATACGAATTTAAAAATAAATCGAAGAGAATCGGGTTGATTCTTCAGTTGATTTAAGGATAACATATAAAAAAATTCAAGATATTTAAAACATAAATTTATTAGTCTAATCGGTTATATTTTATCAGGGTTGTCCAATCCGGCATATATAGTTTAGGAAAAAATTCTTTACATACATTATTAAATATAAAATTTATTAGATGAAAGCATAATATCTTTATATACACCAATAAATGTCTTTTTCATTTCATATATCACCATTGTTTTTATTTTAGTATATTTAATTAATTAAATTTAATAGGTATTTTAAACTCTGCTAATAAAATTACTTTGATTTTATAATTTGTAATATAACATTGCTTATGTGTATATAAATAAGCATAAAACATGTAAATTTCAAAAAATTTGCATTTTTTTTATACGTAGAAGATTTTGCTCTCTTCCCTCGTGATTAGGTCACGGTTAGCTATAGTAACAGTAGTCACTGCTAATATTTCCAATAATTATTTTGAGATGTAACATATCGGATATCTTAATTTTTAGGTTCAATTAATAAATGTACAAGCAATGCTATTTTTTATTGAATAAATATGAAAATTTTTAACTTAGGTTTTGAATGTAAAGTGGAATTAAATAATTTGTATTCTTATTCTTCCATATTTTATCATCAACTTCTCTCAATTATACAATTTAAAAATTCTACAATTATAATTTCTTAATAATTGTATTATTTGTAGGACAAAAATGTGTTGAAACCCTTTAGCCAATTTTAAAAGTACAGCAAAATGAAGCTATTAACCAAAAATATAATTTAAGTCCGACCTAAACCCTTTTTGCCATATACATGCATAGTTTCGAGGTTTAGCTAATATTTTTTTGATAAAAATCATGATTTAGCTGTAGCCGTTTTTGAAAATTGATAAAATTTAAATATTCGAAGAGACAGAAGACATTTAAAATAAGAATTCTTTATTAAATTGGCGCCTAAATGCAAGTAAAATAAAAATTTAATTGTGTATGTTATCAAAGAGATTTGACTTAAATCCAATTTTACTCTAAGAAAAATAGCCTTTTCACAAATCCTTACACGACTTTATTTCAATGACGGTCTCGCGTCATAACCCCCCAAATTTATATTTAAACTAGCCAGAAAAATCTTTCGAAATAATATTTGCAAAAAGAATATTAATTAAAAATATATTATGGTATGCGCGGCTCAAAAACACGAGAAAAGATTTTAAGATCTGGCTGAATAAATTGTACAAAATATATTTTACAGGTCAGATTGGGTAAAATAATATGAGTCGGGTCAAAAAAGAAAAACTGATTGAAAATTTTCCCTAGTGGGTTCGAATTGACCCCTAATACAAATATGTTCCAATTTATGAAACCACATTGGCGAGTCCATACGATTCTTGATCTCCATATATATGATAGATAAAATTTTAGAATTTTTTGTTAGGTTACATAATTTAATTCTTCTTTAATTCCTATCTTTTCAAAATGCACTGAAGAGCTTTTTATCAGAAAAATAAAATATTCAGATGACCAATTATGATAAAAATTGCAAATTTTAAATATAAAGATCAATCAACCGTCACATATACGAGGTGACCTCTAAGAAAGTAGAGAGAAAATCAGAAATTCAAAATATAATATGGAGTACATTCTTATACCCCCCCCCCCCCACAAATATACATTTATCTGGCCAGGGCTAATTTAGCCTTTGTAATCGAAAGGAAACAACGAAATAAAATAACAAAAAATATAATTCAAACATATAAAGGATGCGGATAATAAAACTAAAATAATTTATAGGTTCATACAAGATTTCCAATGTCGCAATCGAAAATCTTCTCGGTAATTGTTAAGCTTTAAGATTTTCGTAATGCCAGAATCAATATAAATATGATTTAATGATAATTCTAAATATTTCGATTTTTAGAATGTTAAATATTTTTAATATAAACTTTAGATAATAAAAGACTAATTATCCTAATAATATGATAATGATTTGTTATAATTATATATAAGGGGTTATAAAAATACTATTTAGTAATTCAAATTAAAAAATTTATTTTTTGAATATTTTTGCAGATCATCACTAAATCGTCAAAATCATCTGAGGGTTTTGAAATATTTTTAACGTCAATGTTACCAATGCACTGTAGTAAGCGATTAAAATTAGTATGTATGACAAATTCATTTTCAAAATTTTTTGCCACTTTATAGGCTTTGTTAACAATATCGTAACGCATGCCGGCTAATAGGGCAGCATGAAACCCATAACTATTAGGACAAGGCCCTGGGCTTAGTTTGTATAAAAATGTCAAGACGTTTTTATCGGGGTATAATTCCTTCTCTTGATCTATATCCTTTTCATTTTCTTGATCACCATGACAAAATAAGGAATCGTCGGATGTTTCGATCATGCATGCCTTTAAATAAAAATATAAGGTATTAGAAATATTAAAAATAAGTTTTGACTAAAATATTAATTCTCTATTGTTCTTCCCTAACTTCAAAATTTCGGATAAGCGGGATATAAAATAGAGGGACAGGTGACTATCATATCTAAATCATTGAGAGTTTATAATTGTGGTCAAGTAAATGTTTCCAAATTTTAATACTTTATCGAAAAGATCAAATAAATCGCATAAAAATCAAATTATATTAAATTGATAAATAATTTTTATAAAGAAAAGTGCTAACCATATGAGCTAAGGAAACGTCGTCTCGATGCTTAAGCTCGTCAACAAGCGAATGATAATGGGTGGAAAATAAGGTTCTACATTTGATATTATCTCGAATGTATTTTATAACGGAATCAGCAATCGCTACACCATCATAAGTAGCAGTACCCCTTCCTTTCGACATGCATATAAAAAGGAAAAAAATGTGTAAAAGGCTGAAGTGACGCCCTTATTAATTATTTTTCGAGAATTACCTTTAAAATAAAATGAAGTAGTGATTTTTACAATAGTTTTATTGAGACCTCGCTTTAAAAAAATATTATTCTAATTAAAATTACACATTATTAAAGAAAATTAAACATTTGAAGAAATAATGTAAATTATATATGGTGAATTCCATGACAAATCAACATGTGTTTAAACCTGACCTACTCAGATTTTTCAAAATTTTTACTAGTTTGAAAATATTATAAGTAAAAAAAATAATTTTAGCTTCTAACTCCAACCAGTGGCTGAGATATGGGTCTCTAAAGTTGAAAAATGGGGCATTTTGAGAAAAACGCACTCCCTTTAACTTTAGATATGTTTGAATAAAATTATAAGTTATTTAAAGTTCTCTATACAGCCTAATGGTAAGCTTTTAAAGTTATAGTTAAATATTATTTAAAATATTTAAATGTCAAAAACCGGAAATGATTATAAAATCAAATTGGCATTTTTTATATCTCAATTTATTTTATGTTTAGCTAAAGAATTAATTAACAAATACTCAAAATTTCAAGTTGGGCAGAGCCCAGGTTTAGAATATGTTATTTTAATCATTAACTAATTGTGAAAATCCGATAAATCATTAATTCAATCAGAAAGAAAGAAAGAAAGAAAGAAAAGCTAAAATCCTATAAATCTTTTATTATTCTTTTGAATAAAAAATTGGAAAAGATGGGGAGGAGGAGGAGGTGGGGCTATTGTTATTTAATCTAATACAATTACTTCATTCCTAAAATTCACAATTATCTTCATTTTTATTCATTCAACTTGGATAAACATTTTAGACCAATTTTTTATATTTTTACTTTAAACCAAAATGACTGATTTCTTGATTCAAAATTTATCAAAAATGAATGATTTTTTTCTGTTGGTGTAGCAACTCAATATACGAATAAAATTTATAATCTAGGGTATCATGAACTTGATTTTGGAATCAAGGAGGAATGACATTTCTTCGTAACATCCCATGGCAAACATTACTAAAAGTTTGAAAGAACTACCTTCAGAGTCCATATGAGAATAAATGAAACATCTTAGATTTAATTAATTTTTGTAAGACAAATATCACTGGAATTAAGTATGCATATGTAAAAGATGAATATGAAAAAAATGTATTGTACAAAAGGTCATTTACTCATTCCTAGAATAAAAAAGTTTCATGCTTTTATGTCTAGTGGGGTCAAAGTTATATTATATTCATATTGTAAAAATTATTCAATTTACAATATATATTTGACTTCAATAAAATTATAATCAAAAATTGATTTATATTTTTAGATATTTTTGAGGAATTACCAAAGACCTTTCCCCCCAAATTCTTTTCTAGATCTTAAATAACTATTCTTTTATATTAAACAAAAAATGTTTGATAGCTTTTGGCTTATATTACAATTATTGATTAATCAAATATTTATTAAGAATATTTGCTATAGACTGATCATAAAATGCCATATCTCCTAAACCTGTATTCGTCCCAACTTGATATTTTGTATGTTTATTAACTAATTTTATAGCTATATATGAAAAAAATGATGATTTGATTTTATGATCATTTCCGTTTTCTATTTCCGATTTTTGATATTTAAATTTTAAAAAATATTTAACATTATGTTAACTTATAGGGTTATTATTAAGCTATATAAAGAAATAATGAAGCCTCTAGCTTAATTATATTCAAAGACATCCATAATGTAAGGTAGTGCATTTTATGTACTTTTTCGACATTTAAAAGCTCATACCTCGGCCCATGTTTGGAGTTGGAGGCTAAAAAAATTTTTTGTTAGTTATAACATATACAAACTCTTGTAAAAATTTTAGAAAAATCTGAGAGGGTAGGGTTGAAAATGTATTTTTTTATTTGTCATGGAATTCACCATATATATATACCTAATTCGTCCATCAAAACTAAAGAATTAATTGTGGCGTGAGTCAAGATAGCAGATGTTTCTTTGAGTTCGACAAAAAATGTACTTTCCCCCTTTATAATGTTATCCTTGGCTCCTAATCGTGTATATATCCTATCGACTAATGACATTTCACAAAATTCTGCTGAAACGTAACATCCCTTGTTTAAAAAATTAGGAAATATTTAGTCATATTTCAATATTTTTCAGAATAATATTGATGCAAACGTTAACTTTAAGTTGATATTTATTTAATAAATATAAGTTACTATTTGCTACCTAATAGTTCTAGCTTGAGATATATTTTCTTATTTTTATAGTAATAAACCTTACCATACAAGAAAAAGGAACAGTAAAAATATCTGGCATTAGCATATATAGCGATTTATAATTATTCTTGATCAATCAAATAACTGTAGTGAAAATTATAAATATTTTCCACACTCAGCATTACTACTTGTTTTTTTTTAAATATTTTTTTTAAATCTTCTTCATCATTTATATTCCAAATTATCTAAAACCTCGTTTATATAATCTAAAGCAAAATTTAAAAAAAATATTACCACGTGAGCTAAAATAGTGACAAGACCGACTTGTCTAAGGAGAGTTGATTTACCGCCCATATTGGGTCCGGTTATAACTATCAACGATTTTGTCTCCTCGCAATTGATATTTATATCGTTTGGAATATAATCCCCGCCGGAAAAAGTGTTAAAATTGAGACAAGGATGTGATGAACCTAAAATATATTAAGGTATATTATATTTGTTAAATTTAAAGATGAACTATTTTTATTACATAATCAATAGAAAATTACGATATGTATAGCAAAACATTAGAAAATTTTAAAAATTATCACAAAAAGAATAAAATTTAACAAATTTAATCATAATTCGTTCATTTTTACACATCACAACCTCTGATTTTTATATAAGGTTTTTCTTTTGTAACAATTATGGGTCTGCATCGATTTTCTACACAAAAATTGTTTGAGTTTGAGTCCTTCTCGTAAAAACTGTATCTTGCGAAAGCTATTAATACGTCCAGTCGACTAATGGCGTGAACCGCAAAATTCCATATATCTGAGCTTGAGATTATAAATCAAAGCATTAATTGAAAATATATATTAAAAATAATTATATTTATTATCTTCATTGCTTATTTAATATGGTGTGTAATATTATTGATATGAGAAGAAGGAGAAAAAATTATATGCTCAGTTTTTAATATGCTAGGTTTTTCTCAAACATATATTTCTAAGTTATTTTTAATGTTAAAATACTATGTTTTTTTAAATAATATTTTGGTTTTTTAAATTTTATATTTTAAAAATACATAAGGCCATCTTGGTTTGACTCATTACTAACTAGCTGACTATTTAGATTCGACTAAACAGCGTAAAAGGTTAAAAAAACAACCATAAAAAATACGAAAAATAATAATGCCACCAAACATTTAAAACATTTCAAATAGGGTGTCATAGTTCAAAAGCTTTTTAGATCATAAATATCAAACTTAACTAGAATCAGTATAGAGTCTAAGAGATTTTAAAAAACTTTTATTTTATAGGAGGGAAATATAAAAGGTAATGATAGTTCAAATTAAAAAAAAAATCATTTTTGCCGCAGATAAAACTTGGACACTCTTAATGTAAAATTCAGCAATTATCAATTTAAAACTTGGTAATTCATTACTTTTTTCCCCTAATAAAATAATTTAGCATTACTTTTAAAATGTAAATCAGATTGCCAATGAGAAATTAACTTGTGTAGAAAACTAAAAAATATATATAAATTTTAAATTAACTTTTGATCAAATTTCGCGAAAATCTTTCGCATAGATTGAGATAAACCCTGATCCCTTCTGTATTCGTATTCAGTCAAACTTTGAAGCATTGATTCTATTTCTTTTGTCCTGTATCTTTTAGCGCCTTTTCTCTGTGAACAAAAATAGATAGCAAAAAAAACTTTCATTACATTTATAATCATAACTAACGAGTGAACGGCTAATGATTAAAAAAAGTTAAAGTATCTAAATATAAAAAGGTTGTATACATATCTAGATCCATTTAAAAAGTATCTCAACTCTGATTAAATTAATCAATAATAATAAAAAAGGAATGCATGCATCGCAATAAAAAACAAAATGGAGAGAAAACTCTTAGTATTCTTCGGTTAAATAAATTGTAAAATTTGTAGAGTTGAGCCCAAAATATATGGCAAAAATATTTTCAGGCTGTAAATCCTAATAAGAGTTCAGAAATTTATAATTGTTTGCTTCGAAATCTTAAGACTACAGATTAAACAAGAACCGATTTATGTAGAACACATCAAACCCGTGGTAATATGGACCGGGGCGGGTTTTAACCCACTCTCAGAAAATCGGCTCCGATTAATTTTTGCTAGCTAAATTCCGCTAAATATATTAAAATTCCTGAACCCTTTTAACATGATCCTATAACAAAATCTTTACCTGACTCTTGATCTCAAAATAGTCTGGAACCTTTTTATAATGACTTTCGGGTATTTCCATTTGAAATCTATTCTTACCAGTTCCCCAATAAACCAATTTACAATTGATGGCCTTTTCTTGTTTTTTCAAATATTTGTGCAAATCTAACTCGAGTATCTTGGCATTTTCATCGGCTTCGTCATATTCCGGAACGATCCCTTTTAGTAGTTTATATTGAAATCATACTATTTTTAAAAAAATTAGTTTATGTCCAGGTTTACAATGAAGTTAATGTAACTCTAGCTAGATCATGGCTGCAATTTTAGCCAATCAAAATGCGATTCGGTCAGATGGGTAATTGATCCACCAAATTTAAATGGTAAATATTAGTAGAATAGTAAATGTACAAAATAACATTCACAATTAATATTTTCATTCTTTATGGTAAAATTTCGTTTTAGCTCCCTTTACCAGGTAATTTATTTTATTTTACATCCTTAGGTTATGGCGTGTGATTCTTGTATCATATTGAGATCTTCTTCAATTTCATTATCATTTCCAACATATTTTGGATTTTTATTATATTTAGATGGCGAAAATATTGGATAATGGCACGATTTATATGTTTTAAATTAAACATTTTATTTTTACCGTGAGACAAAATATAATTACCCATTTGCATTTTCAACAGTAACGTAGTTAGATGTTGAAGTATAGTAGAGAAATTTACAATTTTCATCCATAATATCCTATTCCATTAGTAATTTTTATGGGACTGATATAAGTATAACATAGAGTTTCCTTCACAACTCGTGCTTACAGAGCTTTTTTAAAAATCAATATTTATTCCATACATTTTATTTACGACATCCACATTGTTTGGCCAATGCTGGTATGTGTTAAATCGCTTGTAAGAATAATTGAAAAATATATACAAAATATATGTTACCATATTTCAAAAAAGTATTTAGATATTTATCAATATATTTATTACCAAATACTATCTAAGAGTATTTGATGGATCAAATGTTTAATCTGTTTGATAGACTTGCCAATCTTGCTTTAGACCGTGGAAAGAAAAGGTCGTGGTAAGTTAAAATTGGATGATAGTGATAAATAAATAGCTATCTAAAAAATATTGACGTTATAAAGGAGAGGTAAGTCTCCCTTAAAATAAAAATTAGCAATTCCTAAGATTATTTTAAAAATTTAGATGAGTTCAAAGTTGCTAAAACATTGATTAACACTTAGTATAGCAAAACAATATATAAGGATTTAACCCTTTTAATAATATTGAACTCCATAAAACTTAGCTTAGAACCCTTGAATAAAAAGGCCATTGATGTCTCCACTAGTGAAAAACAAAGGGCTATTAATGATTTCCTGCCAAAATTTGCATTATTTTGATATAATTGTTTAAATCATGCACTTACAAATTATAAACTTTACATAACTCAAAAAAATATTTTGACGGCAGGATTATAGAATATTTTAAATAATATATATTAAATAACCTGGTTCTGGTATCAACACTCCGTTCGATTTGGCTTTCTCAAAATCATATTTGGATGTAAAATCATTGATAAATTTGTCAATAAATGTCCAAACATTTTCGCCATCTTTCTTTTTGGCATTTAGGATATCTGACAATAATTTTGAGCTGTAAAATATATTATGGTTAAATTAGACTCAAAATTTCAAAAAATGAAATTCCATATTCTAACAAAAATAAGCTTGACAATTTTAATATTTTTTTTTAAAATATAACGTTTAAAATTAAAATATATTTAATTACGCTAAAAAGTTTATATTGCGGGAGTTTGAAGCATCATAGCGTTCTCAAGACTTTTTTAAAAACAGTGTCCATTTTTAAAAGATAAATGACACAATTTTTTGAGAATAGCTATTACAATTTGGAAAAAATTTGTATGACTAACCGGGCCGCAGGAATTTATAGCTAGGGGGAAACCTGCTTACTTGAGGGAACCACTTGTTTTTAAAAATAAAACAAATAATTAAACATTCATAGAAATTTTTTGCTATTTTTATTAAAAAATTGGACATGTAATACACAAAATAATATTATATGAATATACAAATAATACTATAATACTATAATATAATACGACGATTTTTATTTTTAAATTTTAACATAAATGAATTAAAAGATAAATCCCGTTTTATTCTTTTTTTTATAAGTCTACTAAATTTTGTTTACGTTGATCTTTCATCGATTCTCTAGTGATTGATAGAACTTTCTTTAGTGTAGAGAACGAGGCCTCACAAGAATCCGTTGATATCCCAATGAAGATGGTTGCTGAGTAGCTTTTATAAAATTCTTTAAATGCATGATGCTAATTTAGGATATTTTCAAAATTATGTGTTTCTTTAAATCTACAGCTAATAATCCTTTAGTTATTTTCATTTCATGATGTAATGTTTCCAAATTTAAGTTTAATGATTCTAATATGGCCATTTTATCTGATATAAAATAAACAGAGTGAAAGGGGGACAATGTATAAAGCATGATAGAAGATTATAATCATCTTGAGTAATTCTATCAAAAAAAACAAACAACAAAGTAATCAATAATTTTATAATAATTCACTTTTAAAGAACTCCAATTGGAGTCTTTTCCACAATCAAATTGCAATTTGGCCTCGACCAAAAGATCTTAAAAATTTATAGGCGTTTTACGTACTCTTGATGCTTTTTGGGGAGTGAGATTAAATATTGCTATAGCCTTAATTCTAATCAAATCAAAAGAATTATAGCCTTTTATTTTTCAATATATTGAACGTGGAATCAATGCAATTTTTAACATCCACTAGATTAGTAATTACTGATTATAGATACTTATTTAGTGGATCTATTGTTATAAATATCTCATAATTTTAATGACTAATATAACGTAATTTATATTGACGCATTGAGATAAAAGACCAAAGGCTTCAAATGAATCATGAGTGGAAACCACTGAATTAAGATTTGTATTAGAAAAGTAAAATAATACTTCCCCAATGGCCTCAAAATTCTCATGATGTTTCCAAATGGCCAGTCCACCTCTGGTCTAAAAGTCTCTTAAGATTATGACTCGCATATTTACAGGATACATCAAGCGTCTAAAAATATTATTGGATAAATTTTAAAAAAATTAGAAATGAAAACAATATTATTATACTAATTTTGTATCACATGATTCAACTTGTAGTTGTAGCAATGTATAAAAGGAACTTTTTTATTAATTTTTTTTAGGGTTTTCACTCCTTCATTTCGGCCAGACATGACGCTTGCACTATCATATGCATGGCTTATTATATTCGTTGGATTAATATTTAACTCACTAAGTTGCTCTAAAATGCAATCAGTAATGCTTTCAGTAGAAAGAATCTGTAAATTAATAATTCCTATTGAATTTTCTTGGATTTCTCCAGAGAAAATATAGCGAATAATTATGCTCAGTTTACAACCTGATACATCTTAGTCTCATCAGTCTTAAAACAAAAAAAAAGTCATTTCACTTTTGTTACATTTATCTGAGATATAATAAATATTACTTCGTTTTGAATCTGGGGTGATGTATATTCGGCATTTTTTAATAAATTTCATAATTTTATTTAATTTAGAAGCTTTTTGGATGGTGCATAAAAATATTGTTATATATAAATAGTCCAGAAGAATAAATTATGTTTTCATCATTTGCAGCATCCGTTTGTTGAACCAGTCCCACGAAAAGGTAGCTCCTGTAGGGTAAGAAATAGATAGCATCAAATCAAATATTGTTAAGATAGTAACGATTATGGTTAATTTGTTGACTTGCCTAAATCATTGTTATCTCAGTATCCTTATTTATATTTAGATTTTTATCATGTTAAATTGTTATTGAATTTAAATAAGCTTTTGAGCTTTCATGTTTTAGCAATCCTTTATTTGCAGCTAACGCACTTTTCCAATTTCTGAATCCCTTTTGTTTAAATTCATCACTTTGGTAACACAAGTATTTCCTACATGGAAAACAAAAAGTAGCGTCAGCTTCTACACTGTACTCCAACCATTCTCGACCTCTATACAGGATTATAGAAATAATCTTAGCCTTCCATGGATATCTTTTTTCACGTAATTATTTAATTTGATTTGCTTTTGTTCATCAATGATGTTATTATTGGATAAAAATAAAACAGGATAGAAAGAAATTTACAAACTAGACATGTATTTTGAATAAATATTTAAAAAATTACAAAAATTTTTTAGGCCAAAGATTTTTTCTGGGGGACCTGCCCTCCCGTTCCCCTCCGTGGCTATGGCCCTGATGAATAAATATTTAGCGTAACTTATATAGATGTTTTTTCTCAATAGAAAATATTTTAGGCGTACTGGTCATGCTTTGATTTGATCTATAAAAACTAAACATATTTTAAAATTCATTATTTTTTTTATTACCCCAGTTTTGTTTATGTCTTTTTTTCAAATTTATATTTTAAATAAGTAATATTTTATATTTTTATCATAATTTGTATAATCATTTTATATAATAAGTTAAATATTAACTAAATAATAATATAAAGAGAATAAAAAATAAGATGAACCTCGATACTCTTTCGTGATCAATCTTACCAATGAGTTGACAAACTGTGTTAAATCCTTTCAAAGTTGAAACGAATTCTTCAATCTTTCTCTTGCTATAGGTCGCTTCCTCAAACATGACTGCTTGCGATTCGGGATGGGAGGCTGGTCTACTATAACCTTAATGATAAAAATGTAATTTTTAAAAATTATATCATTTAAAAGTTTATTAAATGGAGGAATTAATAAATTTATTTTTTGTAGTAGCTTTCTATTTATTTCTTTATCTAGATTCCCATTTGCCTTTATAGTGGCAAGGCTCTATTCTTAACATCGTATCATTATGTACTCCTTTATCCAATTCATCTTTTTTCAATGGAATCAATCTTATCACTTTGTCACCAATGGAAGGTTTTTCCCTATATAATAGAGTTTGCCAATATATCTGTGCACGAACAACTTTACCTTTCCCTCACGTATTTCAAAGTCAAATACTATAAATTTTTAAAATGAATACGCCCTCCTAAATAGAAAAAGTGTAAACTTAATCTATTTTATAAGATAATGAAAACACTTAAAAATATACTAAATAAAAAATTTCACAAAATATCACATTATTTGGTTTACTCAAGCCATGAATTTTTTGAAGCAGCCTTTCTAGATCAGGCAAACTTTTGGCCATACAACTTACATCATCGAGTAGTTTCCTATCATTCCCACCTGACGCGAGAGCCTCAACACCGTCTAGGCGATTATTGATAGCTATTATGTCATTAAGAGGTGAACAAAGCCATTTTGTCAGCAGACGTTTACCCATAGAGGTGGAAGTCAATGCGCTCAATCGGTCATAAAGAGATAGCTTTTACGTTTTGAAAAAAACATAAAAAACTTAATTTATATATCCCAAAAAGACTCATTTATTTTAAGGATATTTTATTTTAAGGATCAATAATAACTTACAGCCACAATATCGTTAACGGAACCGTTTGAAATAATCGGATTTATAACATCGAGGTTAGCTAAGGTAATATCATCCAAAATCATACTCTTTTGATTGTTGGTATGTTTAAATATCGAAGATTCGGTCGAAGGATAATATATGCCATTTAAATTATCCTTTTTATCTTTGTAAGTATAATAACGGGTTTGCATATAAAGTAAAAATAATAATTATTATATCAGGGTTGGTAAGTCGGTCAATTGACAGAAGAATTATTTACCTAGCCAAATACTCTAAAATCTTATTGGTGAACCTATTTTTTTTAAAAAAATCGGGTTCAGACTAGGTCGGGTCTAATATTTTTAAAAAAAATTCAGACCTGGTTGGGCCTTGGAAATTTTTGTAAATATATCTAAATTTATCAATTTTATGTTGAATTTTTTATGTAAAATAAAAATATTTAATTTTATTTAAGAAACTAAACACCATATGATATATATCTTTTATTTTGGGTATAATAATTTTTTAAAAAAATTAATTTCTATATTCAAATAAATTCAGGCCGGCAAAACATTTTTTAAAAATTTCAGGTTTGGGTCAAGTTTTTAAAATTAGACCCAATGCAGATCACTATAATATGTATTAAAAGTATGTTCATCAATAATTAAGTTATATTTATTTACATATATATATATTTGTATCTTCAAGAATAGATTTAGTTATAATATATTAAAATATAAAGTTTTCTTATTAAAATATTAGAATCATATTTTAAAATAAATGTTCATCGGTATAAAAAATTTGAATGGATTGGATTTAAATAGGTCAACTTCTAAAAAATGACCTAATTACAGCCTTAACCACATCCGTGTCAAGGTCGCCATTCCTTCATAAAGCAAAATTATCCATAACGAATTTAATAAGGCAAAAATTCCCAACATCCTCAAACCAACTAACCTTTCATTACAGGATGGTCTCAGACCCGACGGTTTAACCTATACCCCCCTGATCCAACGGCAAATCGTTTATTTGGGAGCACCTGCGTCTCTTCTTTTCCTTCCTCAATTAATTCTAACCTTCTAACTACCGGGGAAAAAAAACTTATAAATATTCAAAACTCAATAATTTTATGTTTCAGCCATTAGTCATATCAAATAAATCAATTTTTCCCAATCAACATACAATTTTTTTTAAATTTTATCGCGAAAAATATTTAAAATAACAAAAGAATACCGCGAATCTATATTCCTCAATCAACACTTCAACTTGAAACTTTTAAAAATAATTATACTTGTTTTTTAGGAGCACACTCATTACTAAATTAAGCTCTATATATTTTTTATTTAGTAATTATATATATTTTTATAAATAGTTAGTTATTATAATTTAAATTTATAAATAAAATAAATTGCAAATGTAAAAAAAATAAATCATTTATAAATTGATTGGATCTCAATATAAATTAAAATAAATTGCAAATCTAAAAAAAATAAATCATTTATAAATTTATTGGATCTCAATATAATTTATAATAATTTGCTAAGCATATGTTTGAGAAATTACTATCTGGGTTTTACACAACCAACAAATTAACAACACTAGCGAAGCCCATTTCAAAAACTCGAGGCCTGAAATCTGATTGTTTTTTTATGTAAGTTACTGTTCTCCACATATTTTGGCTATTAAAACACTATATAATTCACATCAGATAAGCAAAGCTCTAAGCCATCTCGAAACAGAATGCATTAAAATCAGTTTACAGTTAAACAAAGCTAAAACAGAAATATTTTTCCTCAACCCGGAGATACCACCTTATTTTTTTAAAGATTACACTATTATTGAAAAAGAAGATATCCAACTCTTGGGCTCCCATTACTAATTAATAATATATCGGAAAAAATTATCGATAAAACATTCTTTTAAATGCAAAACCTTAAAAAGAACCATATTCCATCATGCTTTTTATTTATTATATCTACCTAAAATCTCACTCTTTTCCACTCATCCTCCTCATTTACAGCCTCAAAATTTTTCAATCAACATGATATTCGCTTTTAGGAACATATTCCTTATTAAATTAAGCTTTTTTTAGAGCATTCGATACTTATATATATTTTTTTATCTAGTAATTTTATATATTTTATTATAATTTTTAAATATGAAATAAAAAAAATTTTAAGTCTAAAAAAAAATTTGTTACATTCATTATGTACAATTATCCAAACAAGATGGCATCATTAATAAAATGCAAGGAACAAATACAAGGAGGCAATAAGGCTCCGAAAGCTGTTGAAGAAGTTGGATATTTGTCCGAAAGGAATTACCAATAATATATTAAATTAAAAATATTTTGGACAAAAAATTTTAAATTTTAAACTATATTTAACATTTAGCTATTTTATAAACGGATAGATGAACCTTCGTAAATCGTGCGTAATTACACATAATTCAATCATGCCATGATTTTATAATTTCCCTTACCTTAAGAAAAAAATTAAAGATAAGTTTGAAAAAAACAGTATAAATACATGGGGGATTCAATAAATAATCATAAGATGATGATAATCAAAATATTTTAAGTGATATATAAATTTCAGAAGTAAAAGACGCGCTATATTTAATAGCCAAAATATGTGGAAAACAGTAACTTACATTAAAAACAATCAGATTTCAGGCTTTTGGAATGGGCTTTGCTAGTGTTGTTAATTAGTTGGTTGTGTAAAACCCAGAACCGGGGTTTGAGTCTAAAAATCGACTAAACCAGCTCCATGAATCCTGAGCACAGACCCGGGATTGAAACCTGTGACTTAGACCTGTGGTTCAGTTCAGATAAACGAAAACTAAGAAAAAATAAATCTCATTAACTAATCTTAAAACTTATTATATATTCTAATTATAAATTAAAGTTTTGTTTATTATTTTATTCTACATTAATCTCACTTTCTAACCATTTAAATATTTGTTTAAATTGGGGTGCTTTGGATTGGAGTCAATTTGACAACCATTTTTTCTCTTCCAGGCAGGTCCGTGGTTGCCCCCCCCCCTTTTTGAATTTTCAATGATTTATCTGTTGGAATGATTTGTACCCGATTTGTACCGTTTCCAGTTCGATTTGTACCAACACCGTTTTTGAGATATTTAAAGAACAAAATGGGGGGCCAACTTCACGACAGCCCCCCAACTTTTGAATTAAAAAATAAAAAGTGTATAGGTCGATAGAGAATGATTTGTACCGTTTTAAGAATTTGTACCATTATCGTTTTCCAGCTATTGACCGTTAAAAATATGGCGCCAAAAATAAAAAAATTTTTTTTTAAAAAATTAAAGTACAACGATAGAGAATTTTACTAATGATGACTTAAATTAAGTTTTATCTCCATTATTTATTTCAGAAATCAAATTTTAAACCTTATATTATAGCGTGAAGTTAGCCCCTAGATATTGAAATTTTGGCATTTTTCAAATATTTATACAGGATTGATTTTTAACTGATTTGTTATATTTTTAAAATTTTTTATAAAAGCTATAATACAATATAGCACCTTCTATAAAACTTGGATTTTCACATTATATTTACAATACCTACCAGGCAAGTATGTATAAGAAAATAAATAATATATTTTATCACATCACGTTAATACCGATAACTATATCCGCTAAAGACACTAAATCTATTAGATTATCTAAATCTATCGCTTGAATTAATTATAACATTTAAATTAAAGGTGTACCGATATTTTATATTGGATCGGGCCGACATTTCATTTTTAAAAAATATCGGTTATCGGCCTTCCGAATCTATAAAATGGTTTTTTATTATTAAAAAATTTATCTCAAATTTCATAATAACTTGTCTAAGGAGATACGTTTGTAAAATTAGAAAAAAAATCAATACGTTTAAGCGATGAAATTAAACAAATTCGGTTAGAAAGTTCGTATCTAATTCTGAACTAGGATGCTATAGCTCTAGGAATAACTCATGTTAATCCTATTTTTTGGTATTTCTAAGCCCTAAGTGGTTTCGTTTAAAAAAATTTTTAACCGTAAGCTGAGTGGCTTGCAGGGCTTTACTATCTAATCCCAGAAAATGCCATTGCATTTTGCTGTTTCTATATTTTTGGTATATATTATTTATTTAAACTATTTGGAATAACATTATTCATCTAAACCTCGAATCTGAACCCCAGGTTCATGCTCTAGCACAAATTGGGAAATATATTTTACGACCAAGCAGATTAACAACACTAAGCTTTGCCTACTTTGAACATAAAGAAAAGTGTAATATCTTACTAACAATTCCTAGTTATCAGCAGAAAGAAATTTGTCGGTTTGGGGGTATATTCATTCGAAGAAATAAAAAGGATTGAAGATCTCGACAGCTATTAAATTGGTAAGGGTATATCATAACTTAAGATAGATTAAAAATATTAAAGAAAATGATAATATTGAATATAAATCACATCAGGATAACTCTGCCAAGGAGAGCGAAACATTAATTATAGAATTTAAAAAAATATAATTTATTATTACATAGATTCATATTTTTACTATTTTATATAAAATAAGGTTAATATTTTAAAAAACATTTATTTGAATTTGACTATATTTGACCGTCAATTAACCAAATCATATTTGACGGGTCACACAACCCTGATTTATATATTCTTGTATAATTATTATCATGAAGGGAAAATATGCTAGGGTCATAAAGGACATTAAATACTAATAATGAAACATGAGGAACTGGTGTTTAAAAAAGTATAATCTTAACATATTTAAGAATAATAAAATATTAATATCAAATGTCAACCAGTATCTCCTATTCTGCCTGTAGGGGGAACATATATTTCAACGTTGTTTTCCATGGAGAGTATTTCAGCATCTATTAGCGAATCTTTTAAATACCAAACGCAAGCTCCTAAAGATTTTAAAGCCAAGGCACAGTCCTTCTTGGGCGTTAAGGCTAATAAATCGGCTTATTGTAAAATTAATTTGTAAAAATTGTTAACATATTTGATTATAATTCTAATTATAAATGAAATGTGAGTGGGTGGTAGCTATTATCATTTAGGCATGCTAAAAAAATTAATATTTTTTCTAGATTTTCAAACAAGGAAATGATTTGTTCAAAAGAGAGATTATTTTAGTTGTGCCAATAGTTAAGTGAATTGTATGCTTAGCACAGTTTTCTTTTTACCTTGTTGTAAAATTATGTTAATAGCATCGATTGAAATTGGTATAATATGCATTTTTAGAGAAAAATAAATGTGATTATAACTCAAAGTAATAATTATAAAGAAAGAAAGAAAGAAAGAAAGAAAGAAAGAAAGAAAGAAAGAAAGAAAGAAAGAAAGAAAGAAAGAAAGAAAGAAAGAAAGAAAGAAAGAAAGAAAGAAAGAAAGAAAGAAAGAAAGAAATTCCTTCCTTATATTTTTAAACCTTGATCAGTCATTTGTGCGATAACAACATCTAAAGATAACAGATTTTGCTCAAAATTCATCCTACCAATTTGGTTTGAAGTATTGACAACATCGGATGATTTATAACTATATTCTTTAAAATGTTGCAAAGTGGTAGAGGCATCCCAAAATTCTTTACCCGCTATCAAAAATTGTTTCAAACATGGGTGAGAACAACTGTGATCTATTATTTTTATGGTGTCTTTTGCTATTTTACCTTTTTCAAAAAGCACCTTAAATCAAAATTAATTGTATAATCATAATTAATTTAAAATTTCCGTTGTAATATCATGTGTCAAATATAAAATTATTTACAAAAGATTCATATTTTTATTATTTCCATCCTTCTCTTTCTTAGAGATATCGAAATTTAAAAGTTTAACCCATGATACCAAATGTCTTTATAAAATCATAATTTTGATCAATAGTGTTTTCTCTGGTAACGATTAGTTTATTTAATTTTTTCATTTGGTCATTACACCTTTATAATTTAAATGACAAACATTTAAAAGAAATAAATAAGTTCTCACTTCAACAGGAGGGTAATGGGTTATAAAGGTTCTGAGACTTGATCGTTGAGAATCGTCAAAAAACTCTCCAATGTAAAATTTTCCCACCGTAGTATCTACACAACATATCCCGTATCTTAAGGGTTGCAATTTTACTGAATTTTGTTCGAGAGAAGATGGGTTAAGGTATATTTCGGTCAAGGCCAACAGATATCTATTATCCGGAACGGTCTCTAAGGCTAAGGAATCTAGGTAGCTGAACGTTTTGGTGCCCTTTGACATGATACGGCAAACTTCTCTGTTGACTAATTTGTCTTTCGAACCTGGGGAATTTTGTATTTTTTTTAAAAAAAAGAAGTTGAGAACGTTTTTTTTTAATTTTTGAGTAATAAAGTATTTTTATATAAAAAAAAATAATTTATGCTAAATTTTGAGAGAAATTTTGAAAAAGTGATTTAATACCTGAAATCATAAAACGTAAAAATTTTAACGAGTTAATTTTCCTATATTTAAAATTAAAAAAACAAAGAAAGCTCATATATGAGCATAAAATAATAAATTCGAGTTCAATAAGACTAAGTAAATTTATCAAAGGCGCTATATTCAAGCTTAGCATTATTATGCTATAGAAATCAGAGCTGATTCTTCATAGAGTTGATAATTTTTAAATATATAAATGTCGCGCAACATGTATTTTTCAAATTTTATCATAGCGTTAACATCATGACGCCACATATTTACAAATTATACCTATTTTGTCTTGTTTTTTTAAATAAAGCATCGCTTGATTATAACGCGTTTACTATAAATGAGGCCTAAGAGTCATTATTGGTCGATCAAGGTCAAGAAAATAAGAATTTTCTCTTTACTAATAATAACAATTATTTATATAATTTTTTTTTTATCATACATCAATTTTTAAAAAATCATATCATTAATTATTGTTTTTAAATATTTTTAACGAAGCTTTATTGTGAATTCCATATCAATATCAAATCAACAAAAAGTCGATACTCCTCAGAATTATTTTAAAATATACTCACATGGGTAAAATATAAAATAACATTTCCATTAAGTATTTTCCCAAATTTTAGATACTATTGGCAGCAGAGGTATATTTACTTGTGAATCAGAAGAGTCAGATTGCAACGGTAAAAAATATTCATTATATTTTATAAAAAAAATGACATTAGATTTAACAATTATGAGTCTTTTCTTGCTCTTTTGCCTGAAGTTGAAGAACCTAAGGATATAGGTAAGATATATAAATGATATCTATCATATAATTATTAGATTAAATTTTATTCTAAAACATTATATTAGTCTCGTATAGGGCTGTGAAGTGATAAAATTTAAAATATTAATACTTTTTATTAGTGTTGTAATTTATGACGAACGCTTTCGAATTTAATGTTCGTTCAATTTTAAAAATATTTTTATTTATTTGAAAAATTTAATATTTCCGAATTTTTTTAAAAAAATGTATTATTTATTTTTTTTAATCGGCTGTGTATTTCCTTTTCACATTTCAATTTTTTTAACACATAGTTTATTAATTTGAATATTATTGTTTATATTTTAATTTAGTAGATTAGCATAAGCATGGATATTATTATTTAATCTTCATCATCTGATTCTGAAAATCCAAAATCAAATGAATTATCATTACTATGGCCAAATATGATAAATGTTTTACATTAACATCCTATATTGAAGGAACTAATCCAATGCTTACCAAGTGTAAAATGTGGCCAAAAAGTATTTTGTCAAAATCTTCAGATTCCAATTTAAAAAGACATTTGATTTTAATATTAATTATTAATTAAATCATTAAATTTGAAGAAATAATGCATTTGGGATATTTGACCCTAACAATAACGATAGTTATTAAATTAAAAAAATTAGTGGCCTCAAATATGGTCATCCAGCTCAAACTTCAATGGCCATTGATAAAACTTCCACAGAACGAACCTATTAAAAATAAACTTATAGCGTTATTGAAAAAATGCTTTGAAAACCCTAGAGAACCGTTAATTTCAAGATATCCTTTTTTTGTCGAGAGTAGAGAATGGATTGGAGGAGGATAAGTTGAATCAATTTTTTGCAAATAACAAACAATTTAAATTAATTCTTCACGTTAAAAGAGCTGTTTATTAAGTATAATACCGCAATCCCCTCATCTGCCCTTGTAGATCGCGTTTTTAAACTAATGCCATATTAACTGCCAAGTGTTCCTGTCTATCAGATAAATATTTTGAAAACAATTGTTATTAAAATTTAATAAGAAAAATTTTTTTTATAAATAAAAATATCTTTTTATTCGCTATATTATATTTTATTTATAATTATGTTATCAAAATAAAACTATAATATTTTTTAACATGGCTAAAATATATTGTATTAAAAAAAGAAAGTTTATTTATATTAAATTAAATTTTATAAAAATTTATCATAAAATTTTGAGCGGTTTTATGAACGTGAACGCGTTCCTTTTTTTTTGAACATGAACTTGAATGTGAACGCGTTCGATTTTTTTAGAAATGTTTACAGCGCTACTTTTTATTTACCAATAAATTCCTTTTAAACTATTTATAAAAATCAAAAGTATGCCATAAAATTGAAAATTAACAAATTTATACTGGATCGGAAAAATATTAACTCCATTTTAAAAGTAAGGTTTTTTAAAAATTAGGCTGAGTCGAGGGCGATCTTTTTTATATAATCATTAAAATCTAAATATTTTATATAATTAAATATCGATAGCGATTTTCCTTGATATTAAGGAAATGTAATTATTTTTAACGAGTAGGGAAATAGGGGATATTAAATAAAAATATTTATTTATATATTCACAGATAAGCCGTCACTTTTTTTATTGCTTATAGAATGAGGAAAATTATGTGAACGCTATATACATTGCTATTAAAATAGCAAAGATTTCAAACAAAGATTCGCGCTTTCAAATTGTCTAGTGTGTTTAAAAAATGTTGGCCATAAAATTACATGGAAAAATAGTAGCCCTAACAATAATATTGGGAATAGTATTTCTAATATTTTAAAAAGGCCCCTACCTTTATTTCATATTTAAATATTCGTGGGCGTCAAAACATAATTTATTCTCAAATAATTGGACATAATTTTATCTTAGGTAATCTCGTGTTATTATTACCTATCAATATGACAGATAAAACTATTATCTGTCCTAAATATTTAGAAGGGAAAGTATTAAAAATTGAACAAAATAAAATATGGATAGGAACATGTGCAGGGAAGAATTTCAACACCATTTATTGCTCTAGTCTATATATAACTATAGAATTAAATGATTTTGAAGTTCCCAACAAAGATATATCAATCATAGGTAATTTAAGCTATTTTTATAGTAACTACATATACTCTCCAAATTAATACATGTACATAAAATATATTTATTTTTTAAATCAACTGCTAAAAATAATTAGGAACTTCATGGAATGTCACAAACTATGGGAAAACATCGTTATGCAATTGCAAAATGGGTTGCATGAATAAAAGGTACGAGTGTTTCAGGAACAACCTTAAATGTTCAACGAAATGTCATAGTGCATTGAATAATTGTTGCAATAATTTTTTTTAATTCGGATTTTTAAAAAATATATATTCATGTGAAAATATTTATGATTTTATATAAATTAACAAAAACAAAAATGTCTTTTTAACCTTATTCCTTTTCATTCATTATATGTCTTAATTTTATACTATTTACTTAACATTCTCTTTTTAAATTCCTTATTTTGGCATTAATTATATTCTTTTTCAAAATTTATATCATTTATTTTATTATAACAAATAAAATATCTCTAAATGAAATTTTCTGATGCCAGCCAGACGGCAAAAAAAAGGAAGAAAAAATAATAATTTAACATGGGGATTTGGAATATTTTTTAAAAAAAGATTCCGAATAGTGGGGATTGTATCCCAATACGACATATACATTTCTATTTTTTAAAGGTTGATTACATTAAGAAAATGCAAATTAAAAAGTGGTTAATAAATCATCCTTCGGGCAATGATTAAGATTTTAGCCAAAATAATATTATGAAAGCATGTGCTCATAGGTGGCAGAAAGGTATGAACCTTTATTTGCCAAATCTCGAGACTTACATTATATTATTTATTCTAAAATCTTAGTCGGAGCGTTTTTAAAGATCGATCCTAATTGGGAAGTTTAATAACACTTCTCATGAATGAAAATAAATAATTTTAAAAAAAAATACCATCTCTATTCTCGCGTCTTTTTTCCATTGCAGTAACAGTTTCCGTTTGCTCTACCCTACAAACGCGGTAACCTTTTTGGACTAAAGCGTCTGCAAATCGACCGCAAGATATTTCGGGAAACCCCGAATGGGCAGATACGAGACTGTCTTTGGGTGTCGCATCTTACAAAGTATTAAAAACCATTTAATTAAAACATTCCCCGAATACTATATATATTTTTCTAAACATATTGTATTCAATTTCTTTACCCCCAGAAAGATTTTCGTTAGAAGCATCAGCGGCGCCACACTTCATAAAGGTTAAACCCAACTCTTTAACACTCAGAACGGCGTCCATATGATAAAGTTCGTAAAATTTCCCCACTTTGAAAAACAGGACACAATCAAATCGGTGAGCTTTGATCTTCCACCATTGCCTGAGAGCGGGAGTGGCCTTGGATAGGTATGAAGGGGGCACATATAAGGTGCGAGGATCGTAGTCTTGGTGATCGACACATCGACCCTCTATATCTCTGTGATAAATTGGGTTGTTATAATTATTATAAGGTTGAAACTTCCATAAGGTAAAAATTTATAGAATAGGTTATTACGTTAAATGTTCATATTAATAAGCTCTGCTAAAATTTAAGCTTTGAAAATTGTTTAAACCATTAAATAAAAATAGCAGGGCATTATCTATCAAGTTGATTGTTGTGAAATATTTTTTCGCAAATTAAATTTATGGATAAATAACCAATTAAGTATAAAAATTATATATAGGTTGGATAAAGGACTATTTGAACTAAGATTAAAATAATGTGTTAAAAAATATAGAGAAAGAGCTAAAACAAAAAAAAAAGAGAATGGTAATTTTTGAAACTAAAATGAAAAGTATACGATTCAAAACTGATTAAAGTTCTTCCAAAATCGGTCGGAAAATAAGCATAAAAATAAATTTTTATTTGTTTAAAGTTAGAATCGTGATATATGTGTCATAACGAGACATAGAACATATAAATTTGGAATCTCTCAACTTTAAACTATTCACTAAAGTAGATTTATATTTAAAAAATCTGATTTAATAGGTATGTATTCCAACTTGTAAGTACCCATGCTTTAAATTTCGTATCATATTGTAATAACCCATGGTGTATTTTTGTAGTTCCAAAGTTGATGGAAAAATTGCGTGAAATACACTGTGCTGAATACCCTACATATCTGGAATATATATACAATCAAATAAGATTTTTCGAATTTAAAAATCGTTCTCAATGATTCAAAATTGAGAAATTCCCCATGAATTCCATATCCTGTTTTGACATAAACTATATTTATTTGGGATCAGGCAAGTCTGGTCAATTTTTAATTTGGTTTAAGACACTGAATCTCTCTTACACCCAATGTTAAATTATATTAATAAAAATTATTCGTTTAATTTTACTGGGGTGGGGGGACTCCAAATGTAATATCAAATCCATTTCAGCAAAAAAGAGTAGATATTAGGGTTCAACCCCAGATCTTGGATAACTTTAAATTGATTATTTCATATATAATTATTTATTTTTAAATAAGGTCTGTGTCAATCATCAAATTTTCCACCAATTCAATTCAATATTTTTTGGTATTCATAAAATCAATAATAAACCAATATTTATATTGATTTTTTTATTTACCATCTATGTTAAACCAATGTCATAAAAAACATTATTTTTTGTAAAATATATAATTCTAATTGTAAGTGTTAACTATGAGATAAAAACATCAAAGTTTAAATTTTTCATATCTCATGGCCAAGGGAATATTTGCTACATTACCAGGTTTTTTTATTCCCAAAAGTTAATAATCTCATTTACAAGTTCAATATCTAAAATCCTTCTCTTCTTGCACTAACAGATAATTTAGCAATAAACTTTCTTTTATTATAATTTTAATATTTTATTATTAGAAAATTATGTTTAAAATAAATAGTAATTAAAAAAATGAAAGGTTTGGTTTTTTTTGTAGAGACCGGACTTAATATTTAAAAATATTGGCCCCAATCTGATGCAATATATATTGATATAGTCCCTATTTAAAATTATGAAAAAATTAAGATTCAAAGGGGGTTAGATAATTATATATCATGTTAAATTAAATTATATGAAAGAACATTCTAAGTTTATTTTAAATCTAAATATTGTCAGCCCCCTAGATTCTAAATCCTTTTTTTAAAGTTAATTGATGAACAAATTATTTAACTATATTCCTGTCCTGTTACTTCCTTAAAAATTTATGTATAATCCATACTTTCTTTTGTTTGGTTGAAGCCATTCCAATGTTTGATGAACAAATTTAAATTCATATAATGGTTTGCTAAGTTTAGGTAAACTATCAGTTGCTTTGGAATTTGTCTTACCCTATTATATTATATAAATTTTATATATAGAAGATGAAAAATTAATCCTTTAGATGGAATAATCTTTTTATTTAAATATATTAGATTTAATCATAATTTATAAAGCTTGAATTTACAATATCTTTTTTTTATTTTTAAAAAGTTTAACTACCTTGTTTGCAGGTGATTTTTTAGCTAAATTTATCCTTTAGATGGAATAATCTTTTTATTTAAATATATCAGATTTAATCATAATTTATAAAGCTTGAATTTACAATATCTTTTTTTTATTTTTAAAAAGTTTAACTACCTTGTTTGCAGGTGATTTTTTAGCTAAATTTATCCTTTAGATGGAATAATCTTTTTATTTAAATATATCAGATTTAATCATAATTTATAAAGCTTGAATTTACAATATCTTTTTTTTATTTTTAAAAAGTTTAACTACCTTGTTTGCAGGTGATTTTTTAGCTAAATTTGTATTATCATTTGATTTAAAAGTACTGCTTTGATTATTTCTTATTTGTGAACACTTATTATTTTTATCAGCTGAATTTGTAAACTCTTTTTCTAAAACACAATCATCATCTTCGTCTTCTGAATAAATCAATTTTCTTTTTTTTCTTATAAATTGTAATTTATATAACATAAAATAAATATGTGTACCTATTATGAGATAAAATATTAATTTCATCATCCATATCAAGACAATATTTCTATGATAAATCCAATAATAACAAATGTAAGCAGTTATTACTTTATTGTTTAAGGGATCATTTATTTGAGAATATGAAATTCTGTCCTCAATACTAAAAGCTATCATTTTATCAGCTTGATTTATGCAAGATATTAAATTCTCATCTTTACAGGAAGACAATATTTTCTGTTTCAAATTGTTTGAAACATAATTTTGTATAAAACTATCATTATAAATATATAAATGAAAATATAATCTATAAAAACTTATTATCAACCCAAGATATCTTTTCAGGAAATATAATATATTTAATATGAAATTGATTAGATGATGGCATATGATATTTTTTATCTTGATCTTGTACTATTATAGCTGGCCAATATGATGAATTTTCATATTTAGCCCATACTAAATCACCCAACTTCCATGCTAAGAAAATAAAGATTAATTCTAATTTCTAACTGATCTATATTTTCAAACTTGGATGAGTCCCTGAATTTATTTTTTGCAAGCTTTTATTTGGAGTTGGATTTTTAACAAAAAATTGAAAAATGCTGGTTTGAGACATTTAAAAAATTCCGCGAATATATTGTTGCAATAGGAATGTAAGATTTCAATATTGTATGGAAAATATTGCTACTCAATGGGTATTATAACTTAAAATTTGGTAAAAATAATTACAAATATAGGAAAGTTGAAATAATAAATTTACTAAATATTGCTTACTTTTAAAAGATTCTTTATATATTTAACACAATTATATTGTTTCTCAGGTATCTTTTCACATTTTAAATAAGATATAAATACATAAAATAAAATTGTTATTTTATAAGTGTCTACCAGATTTTAGATTCTGGCTCAACGTTTTTATTCATTTTTGTAGCATAAATTTACGTTTATCTGACTTGTAGGACTAGAATTGGAATGACCTATTGATAAAAATTTGTATCTTATTGGTATTCAAAATTTTGTTGTATATTTAAAATATATATACCCTAAAATTTTTATATAGAACAATGATATAAAATACTGACTTGTACTTCTCATTTTAACAATATGGATATTTAAAAAAATATTACTATTCAGATTCAACTTTTATTTCGAAAGTCCAGTAAAGATGTATGTCAAATATTAGCTGTCATTTTTCCAATTCTTAAATTAGTCTTAATATCAATGAGATTTATATCAGTTGATTTTGAAGTTTTTGGGAAAGTTCAAGGTATAGATTAAGCTTTAAATAAGCTTATATTTTTCATCTTTAGGAGTATTTTTTAGGAAGGTAACGTTTTATAATTTTTAGTGAATATAGTAATTTTAGAATACACAAGAAAAGGCATTAAAAATAGGTATAGTTGGATGGGTTAAAAATACCTTATTATCCACCGTAATTGGACAAATCCAAGGGAAAGAACCTGAAATTAGAGTCATGTGAGAAATATATATTTAAAACAACATATACTCTTAAATGATAATTAAAATAGCTAATTAATTATATTTAGTTATTTTAATTTTAATTAGTATGCTCGTTTATTTTCTGTTCACATATATTATTTATTTAAAGTAATCAATATGATTTGATAACACATATTGATTTTCTTAAGTTTTCAGATTATATTTTAAGTAGAATACACAGTTAGTCATTTATACATATGCAACTCTACATCATTTTACAATATAAAAACTTAAAATTTATTCTAAGCAATATGGAAGGTCTCTGTTTATATTCTTATACAATTTTATTCTAATCAAAAATCATTACTAAATTTTTATTGCTGATTATGTTTTCCAATTGCACCTTTGTCTGAATTATATATAAAGTCCAATCTTACTTTTTCTACTTTAGTAATATTATTAAAAATTGTTTCTTCATAGGCTAATATTATAGTACCAGAATTTCCATTTTTTACGTTATAAAGGAATAATATATTAAATATTATTTTTGTTAATAAATTCCTATTAAATTTATCTCCTAATGGAACTGTGCAAATCATACTTTATAAGAGGTAAAAGACTACTTTTTGTAAAATCCTACCCTCTTTTAAATTAGTTATCTTATGATATAGTAGGCTCAAACATGCCAATATTTTTATAGAATATATTATAGATCATTTTAGGTTAGATGATATCAATAATTAGAATAATTGGGGTCTTACCTCTACCCATTTACGAAATCAAAACGTATAGTATTTTTATTAGAATAGGTCATAGACCTATGTGCTAAATAAATGAATACTAATATAACTAAAAAAATAAGCAGGCAATGGTTGATTTTAAAAAAAGAGTATAATTAAACTAACACATGTTGGAAAATTTTGAGTATTATATCCTATTGGTTGATTTATAAATGTTGCAAACTATGTTAAAAATGTTACTTTATTTAATAATATTTTATTAAAATGTAATTTTTCTAAAGAAATTAATAATATTTTAATGAAGGCTAAATTTGCAGACATCAGTGAAATGGGGTAGTAGAATAAGATATTATATATTTTGGAATAATCAGTTTTTCCAATCTTAATTTAATAGTTCTTTTACAGAGATGAACTGATACCACATTTTTAATCGATATCTAAGCAAATACCACTATTACTAATTAACATGGTAATGGTTGTTACCCAATATTGATAAAATAATAATGTAGTACATTCATTGAAAATAGCAAACATTTATTTTTATTAGGGTTCTGCCTGAAAATTTTGGATTGCATTGATTGGTGAAAAGTTTATGGATTGGCATAACTCATTTTTTCTATACTTATTTATAATTAAAATAAAAGTAAATATAAGTATATTTAAAAAGATAGAAAATAAAAATTGACCGCACCATCTTTCTTTCTTTTTTTATTGGTTCAGAATTTTTTTATTAATTTTATTATTAATTCATATCTTGAATAAAAAATTTTTTTAATAATTCATGAAGGTTAAGTATAAATTTTTACTATTGACCACTAATATCATTTAAAAGTATTGATGTATCTTTTGTTCTTTATTATAAACATTTTTTTGTATATATGTATTACAAATTATATATTTTATAATATCAAAATCTTTATATAAATTTAATTTATTATCAAGGCAGGAATGGCTTAGGCATGAAGGAAGTCCTGGGTCAAAAATAGAAAAAACTGAATTTAAAAATGAAAAGTTTATAGACAAATTAGAGTTTAAATCTTTTGATTTAATACGAGGACGATGATTTTGGTAACAAATAATTCCTCTATTATATAAATATAGCCACTTTTAAATAAGGATATACTCATTTATTTAGTAAATTTTTTGTATATACTTGATGTGTTTATTTAAAAATTTGAATAAATACTTATGTTCATTCATGCTTGCATCAAATTTTTTTTTTGCAATATCAAAATACACTTTAATAAAATCTAGATTTAGACAAATTTAATTTAATTTAGTATTTGTTTATTAGATTATATATCGTTGTCTGAATATTAAACCTTAAATTTCAACACATTGTTTGCAGATGGAGTAGCACCCAATACAAAGTATTAATCCTTTACCATAATATATCTTGTATTATAGTTTTAAAAACGCACTTTTCTAATAAAAATTTTGTTTTTAAATCAAAAATCGCTTATAACACTATAATACATATTTATATTATTTAAGGGATATATTTTAACAAAATTATAGTTTCGAGGTGAGGTAATTCTAGCAGGAAAATCAGTCAAATTTTTTTTATATTCAAATGGGTGATGAGTGAAAAGTGCATTATTAGGATCCAATATTAGATTGATAAGGAATAAAATTCAGATAAAGGGAGAGAGGAAGGGGTTGAAATAGATGTAGATGAGGTAAAGTATGGATGTAATATTTGAATTCCCGAACGGTTCCGGGGTATAATGGCCGATGAAGTTTGTAAAATAAAACATTTATAAGGAGATAAATTTTAGGTAAAAAGGATTGAAAACAGTTAAACATGAATCAAAAGAGAATATTTATGAAGTAATGGAAATTAAGAAGAGTACAAAATCAAAGTGGAAGGTTGGAGATAAACAAAGTTTTGAATTTAAAAAATTTTTTTTTAAAATATTTCAAAGAAAAAAGTATATTTGAAAACAAAAAATTTATATCCAATAATGAAATTTATATTCTTTGTTTTTTATCAGCCCCTATTACTGAATAAAGAGTTTAATAATATATGTAAAGAATTTGGTAAAACTCATCATTTTTATTTACCTCCTTTATTAAAAATTTAGTTCACCTTATCTTATGTGACTATAATTGGCAAAACTTTCAAACGCTAACCTTTTCTAATCTCCATTATTGTAGTTTAATTTCTTTTATAAATATTTAAAAATAGGCTTTTTTTTAATTTAGTCTTTTTTGTAATCACAGGATAAAAATATTTTTTTGTGATTGGTAAAAAAAATAAAACTATAATGATTTAAACACTGAGTTAATAGGAAATAGAACTTATTTTATTATATAAAGACATTTAAAATTAATATCTTCAGGTTTTTTATACATAAAGAAGTTTGGCGGGACCTCTAGTAATAATATTTCGCCCTAACTTAATTTTAACCAAAAGTGAACCTAACTATAATAATCGAGCAGTGATATACTAATAAACAATATTTAAAGTTTAAAAATTACCTAGTTGACTTTTAGAAACTAAGATTTCTCTACACTTAATTATTATTCTTATAATCTTAAAAAACTAATGATAAGGTTTGTTTATAAAATTAAAATAATATTATAAAAATTACAATCTATGTTTATTATGGTTTGGAATTTGAATCAAATTGTTTTTGCTATTTCAGTTCCCTGATTTTTAATATAAAATTCCAAATGAAGAAAATTTTCTGCAAAATGATTAGGATGCGATAAATATTTTTAGTATTATATCGTTGTTCTGAATTAAATCACCCAATAGTATTCAGGTGCGCTCACTTTATTTATAATATTTCTAAATACCAGTGTTAAACCTTACTTTTTACGCTACTTTAGATTTTTTAAAGATTTATTTTACGATCTTAATTTCCACAAATAAAAAAATATGATTAAAATAATATATAATTTTTTTTTTATTACATCTCAATAATTATAACACTTTCAAACTGTCATCCCCAAGTTTTGAGCAACTATCAGAAGTATAAGCTATGACTAAATAATAATTCAACATTAGCACGCAATGCAGTATTAAATTAAATGTACATATTTTTTTATATAAGATAAATCATCAAAAATATTTATGAGTAATTTTAGATTTAAAAAAATTCGTCTAAAACATTTTAAATGTTATTAATTCATCTATAAGTAGGTGGCGTTTTTGATCTTGCTAGGGTCAATCTAAAATTATAATGGTAATAGTTAAAATAAAAATTAAGTAAGGGAGAAATGGATGGCCATGTTTGGCCAGGCCACCACCCTTTAACTTTTTATCTATTGAACCAATTTCCCTCAAAATTGATTAAAATGTGAAAGGATTGAAATAATTATTTTTTAACATATTTTGAAAAATTTATAAATAGATAAGTGGTTAATTTTAAGTATGTTTAACATCCAGATAATTATTTATGAAATATTACCATTAAATCGAGTCTGATGATAAAATGAAATGTTAATTAATTTTTTATGATATAATTCTTGATATAAGGCATGAAACATACCATATTTGGACTGGGTTAGAAAATCAACTTTAAACTCATCTATAGCTCAAAAACTTTTATAGATACAGGTTTTATTCAAATTTTATTTCAAAGATTAAGGATTGGGCTACACATTCTAAACTAAAATAAAAATAGTAAATTTTAAAAGCAATATAAATTAATTTTAGGATAATCACTTGTATTTAAATTGTTTTTGTAGTTGCATGAATGTAAAATAATATTTACATGTTTATATATTTTACTGTCTGAGGCGTTAATTTCACTTATATTATATTATGTTCAATTGATTTTAAAAGCAGGCTTGTTAACCGATCTTTTTAAAACGATCGAATCTCGATCACGATCTTTTCAAAAAAAGAGGATCGAAATCCAGGATCGACTTTTTTTTCTATTTAAATTTCTGAAGGAAATTTCTGACCGATGCAAAATTAACTAATATATGTTATAAATTTATTGTAATTGAATAATAATATAATATAACCGATGCAAAATTAACTAATATAAAAATAAATTAAATATGGTAGAAATTTATTGTAATTGAATAATAAATATAACAATTATAATATATTTATTTATAATTAAAATTAGCTTTTAATAATAAAATTTTTTCTAAATTATCATCATTTAAACATCCGCGTCTTTCATTTAGAACATGTTTATCTTTACTAAACAAGCGCTCCACAGGAGCGCTTGATGGCAAAGGTGTATTATATTCAATAAATGATTTTTTAAAATTAATATAAGTATTAAAAATATTCATAGAATCATCATTTGAATAAAAAAATTTATTAACGGAACAAGCATTTTGTACAGAATTTTTCCCAAAAAAAGCATCAATGTCATCCATACATTCATTTGAGGTATCTGCATATGGTTGTTCCTGCATATTTTCCAAATGGGCAACTAATCTTTCTTTTACCATCATATTTTGTAGCAGATTAATTTAAGGCCAATTAAGTTTAAATTTAGGGTGAATCATGGCTGCCAAAATGTTACTGTCTTCATACAGTGAAGGAAATCTATATTATGAAATGATAATTAATTTATTATTAAATAAGTGTTCATTTTATTCATATAAATCAAATCAAGTATCTGCTTAACCCTTTTAAATTTTACAGTAAAGTCTGGCACATCATCTGTATGGTATTTATTTATATTTGGGTCATATCATAAATATTGATTAAATGTAAACTTAATACTTAATATACAAAGAAATTAACATTGTAATTTATTTACAAAGAAATTAACATTGTAATTTATTTACAAAGAAAATTAATCAAAATATTAGCTTAAAATTCAAATAATCTAATAAATTTTTAATGTCTTCAAAGGCCCATTAATATTTTACTAGATATCAGAGGTTTAGTAGAACTAGCCTGTTAAAAATATTTTACTAAATTTGCCAGATCTTTGAAATTTTTTAATATATTTTGCAGATATCTGATAATATAAAATAATTGCATAAAAAAATATTACCTTTTATCAATACCTCTAAGAACACTATCTACAAGGGGCTCGCAAGGCAGGCAGCTAAATTTCGTTAATTTATCTATCAATATCGATAGAACGGGAGTTAGATATCCCTGTTCCATATTATCCTCCCGTTCCAAGATTTTTAACGAGATCGCCAAAGGTTCCATAACTTATAAAATTTAAATTTATTTAGAGAATATCATTGTATTACTGTTGCATACTCTTTAACAAAAAAACATTCCTCTTGCCTAAACATTGCAAATCAAATTTGATCATATACTTGTTCTACTTCTGAAAACTTTTCAGAAAGCATCTTATCTATTAATTTCATGCATTGGTAATAAGAATTCCATCTTGTCTTGTTGGGAGCTATTAAATATCTTCCCAATTTCTCCAATAAAATATCCGCCATTTTTGACGACATATTTTGTTTATTAACTAAAGCAAAACATTTTGCAAACGTGGATCTAGATATTCGTTTATAATTGAGATCACTATCTGCCATCTCCGCATCTGTTGTTGCAATAAGGTTAAGATTATGGCAACAACATCGTTGATGTTTTGGTAGGCTGATAGTAGGAATAATTGGGTCATCAACGGATAATGTCATCCAAATTTATCAATTCCATATCCTCACTACTATCTTCTTCATTTTCTCCAAAAACTCTAGAAAAAATAAATTTATTTAAATATATTTGCTAAATATAAATATTACTTAAATGCCTTGACAAAGTTGGTTCCATTGTCAGTCACCATCTTCACCACCTTATTATAAATTTTATAGAACTTGTGGATACCCATGATTTCGTTGGCCAAAAAATCATATGTTCCCCCCCCCCCAAATAATCCTCCTCACTGCCAAAGCGGCTGACCTTCTCTTGAGGGTTAACGAAGCCAATGAGCAGTAAGTTTAATAAAAGCCCTAATAAAATAAACATTATAAAATTCATATAAATATAATATATCTTCGATGACCACTCCAACAATCAGCAGTGGTGCATACATAAGAAACTTCAGACAAATCTCTTATAAGATTTTTCGTCATATAAGATAAGAAAGTAGATATCCTTTTTTTGTCGCAGGAGAAAAAGTTTTAATCATTTTAAATGAAGAATCATCAACCAGAGACAGTGGTTGGAAGGTTCAATAATAAAATCCATGATAACCTTGTCTGCTGATTTTTGCGATACAGCT